CTGGGGCTTGGGCGGCCGCTGGTTCTTCCAGACGTACTTCTGGGGAGGGTTCCAGAAGCGGGCATCGTATACGGGGGAGACGTTGAGGTCTTGGGTCACTCGGGTGATCCAGGCGGGGAGGCGCTCCTGACGCGCATGGTCGTTGGGGACGACGAAAGAGACCTTGATCTTGGAGTCGTGGGGGATGGTGGGCTGACCGTTCTGGCCAGGGATCGTCACCTCGAAGACGCCGAAATCGTTCTTGGTCATGGGCGTCGCATCGCGGTCCCAGCCATTGAAGTCACCAATGAGGTAGGCGCGCAGGGCATTCGGGGCCCATTCGCGGTAGACGACGTCGCCGTTGGACTGGACATTGAAGCCGAACTTCTCATAACCCTGGGCGCTGTTAGCTACACCGCTCTTGCCAAGGCGGTTGGGATGCTTGCCCGCGAGAACTTCTCGAGACCGCCCTCAGTCTCTTCAATCGTCTTGATCCACTTCTGGGCCTTGGAGAAGCGGCTCTTCAGCGCGTCCTTGAAGGGCTCAAGGTAGCCATCCATCTGGATGATGCCTGGGCGAATTGGTCAGTCAATTGATAAGATAATTTGGGCATCAATATTTACCAGTGCCATCGTTGGGGACCTGCCCCGGGGCGTCGCTCAGGGCCGAGTTTGCGGAAGCCTTGTTGAGCTCCATGGTGTGGGATGGTAGGTGGGAGGAGCTGTGAGGTTTGCTACCAGAGTATATGGCAGCGGGAGGATGCAGGTCTCACAGCGACAGGCCGCCAGATGAATTGCAGAGACGATCACGAATTTGCGGGGTCTCTAACCCGATTGCTGAGGGCAGCGCTCAACCAAAAGTTGTTGCCAACCCAACAATCAACGTCATAGCTCAGAGCACGCTGTAACGGGCATCGCGCCCGCGCCACGTCCCAACAGCGTATCTCTGCTGGGGTGCGGTCGGAAGGATTTGCGCTACAATTCATTCGGAGCCAGGAACCGACAGCCGCGTCTAAAATGCCATTGAAGCGGACCCTGAGGCGCTTTGCCGACTACATGGTGTTGTAGACTACCTGATAGTAGCACGCTGGTCACGCGTCGGCGGCAAAGGCCCTTATCGGCATCGGGAACCGTGGGGACAGAGCTTCCCCCGCATCTCTGGCCTAACGTGGGGAGCTCACGGCGGCTCAACCACGGTTACTTCCAAGCCTCGAGCGCAGCCGGCGCCATCGCGACTCTGTATTAAAGTCCTCGTGATGCCCTCGATGCCTCTGAGTTTGTAGTGTGATTTCCCTGCGCCTCCTCTCCCACGATGCTGCTGTCCAAGACGATCCAAAGGGCGCTTCCCGCTGCCGTCTCGCCCCAGGCCCGCGCGTCCTACCTCGCCCTCTATAGCATCTCGCGCCGCGCGCCCTTGTCCCATTCGCACACGCGCAAGTCGTCTAGATTCAATCGCTCCGATTTCAGCGGTCAGGGCTTCTCGTCTTTCTATGAGCCTGACCAGCCCACGCGCGGTCCACTGGGTAACACCAGCAATGTGGGCGCAGGCCACATCACGCCCAAAGTGCTGAGACAGCACCTCGACCAATTCGTCGTGGACCAGGACCGCGCAAAGATAGTGCTAAGCGTAGCTGTCCATGAGCACCATCTCCGCATCCAGGAGATCAAGAGACAACACCATGAGCAGGCTAGACTCGAGGCGCAGGCGCAGAGGCGAGCATCCGTGTACAGACATCCTGTAGAAGGTAGCCCCAATTCTCATATTGATCCAATCATCGACGACTTCAACCGTCATCCTCTTATGATGCGGGCGCTGAGCAGCAGAGCAGACGAGTTCCCCGGCCAGCAGTCCACCGTAGAACTGCACAGTCACAGTGACCCTCTACCCTACGGCGAAGCACCTACCTACAAACCAGCCTCGTCTACCTCCTCAGACCCCGATTCCTTACTCGATACCAGCGAGCACCAGCTGCAGATAGAAAAGTCCAACGTGCTCATACTCGGACCTACTGGTGTGGGAAAGACGCTGATGTGCAAGACACTGGCCAAGACGCTGGGTCTGCCCATATCCATGTCGGACTGCACTACCTTTACACAGGCAGGATATATTGGCGACGACGTCGAGTCGTGCGTTGCTCGTCTCTTCTCAGCCGCGAACTATGACATCGACGCAACCGAGCATGGCATTATTGTTCTGGACGAGATCGACAAGATCGCAGGGTCCAAGATGTCATACGGCAAGGATGTCGGCGGCGAAGGTGTTCAGCAGGCGCTGCTCAAAATCATCGAGGGCACAACCGTACAGGTGCAAGCCAAACCGGAGAAGAGCGCGAACAGGCCCGGCGGAATGCCCGGTGGCCCTCAGCCTCCTGGGCCAGGCGGAAACAAAGGCGAGGTCTTCAACATCCGAACTGACAACATACTCTTCATTTGCACTGGCGCCTTCTCAAGCCTACACAAGATCATCTTGGACAGGAAGTCCAAGGGCAGTATGGGTTTCGGAGCGTCGATACGGTCATCGAACGCACATGCCGCCGCCGATGGTGTTATGCTGACAGGTGTGGAAGCTGAGTCCTTCAAGAAAGACTCCCCTTTTTTCGTACCGCCGAAGAACGAGGTCCCGAACCCGTTTGGTGTTAGACAGGTTCAACGGGAAGAGAAGGTTAATGTACTTGACCATGTGCAACCAGCAGATTTGCAGAAGTTTGGCATGATACCCGAACTCATAGGCCGCATACCCACGGTCTGCGCAGTAGCAGCCCTGGACGAAGAAGCTCTTGTCCGCGTTCTCACTGAGCCCAAAGACAGCCTGATAAGACAAGAAGAGCACAAATCGTACCTCAGGAACATCGAGCTACGCTTCACAAACGGCGCACTTCGCGAAATCGCACGGAAAGCAAGTAGGATGGGCACAGGCGCTCGCGGGCTACGACACGTCGTCGACCAGCTTCTCTTGCAAGCCAAATATGAGACACCCGGTAAGCTTACCTCCTGCCTCGACAATAGATTGAGCTGACTAAACAAATCCTCCAGGCTCAAGCGTCAAGCACATCCTCGTCACGCAAGACGTCGCCCTCCTCAAACGCGCACCCCTGTACTTCCACCGCGGCCAATCCGCCGCTTTCGAAGCCGCCCACGCCCAAGAAGAAGAGCGCTGGGAGGAAGAGCTGCGCAGCCAAGAAGACCCAACCATCGCTAGCAACTTTCAGGAATACAGGAAAGCTAGTGCTGCAGGCTTTTAGCCTACAACGTCGTCTTCCCACGAGGATCGATCGCTCGCGCCGGCCCCTCTCCTCGTCCTGTACAAGCCGTCGCAGGAGCGCTGCGGAAGGCACGAGGGGTCTGCAGTAGTTGATGTGCTGCCATGCGGGGCGTACTTTGCAGCCTGCTTGCCGTGTGCCCAGTGGCGGGGAGAGACGTACCGTGCCGTGCATACATGTCCGGATGCTTCCTGCGTGATATAGCTGGCCCGGCTTATACGCAAGCAGGCGCGGCTTCGGGCCGTTGCATCTCTCCCGACTGGATGTGCATCCCGGTGCTCTAGAAGGTGTCTGGTCCTGAGCGGGCACCCCTTGTTCTCCTCCGTCTCCCTTTTCCCGATGCTGCATGAACCATTTGCATTTCCTTACTTCCTCGCGTCTTCCAGCCCATCCACAATAATGTTACCCCTTTCCAGTCCTTTTTCTCGGTGTTCAGTCTGGCGTTTGGCGTTCTCTTTTCCGGTTCGTTCGGCTATTCTGGCACTGGTAATGCGAAATAGGAAGGTTTTGGATGAATGCAACGAACAGCGTGTTGGTGGTCACACAACTTATAGTTATCCCGTACGACACAATGCAAATGAGATGGATGATGTGCTTCCTTTCGATTTCGATGAGATTCTGCAGTGTATATTACAGGAAACGCACGATCTGGAGTTCTGACATGCATAAACGCCTCTGGAAAGTTTGTTTGGACGACCCTGTTTCCGTACGTCCGAAGCGGAGTGTCGAATGGGAGAGAGAAGGTCTAGGTCGTGGTTTGCGTTCTTTGCTGTTGCTATCAGTGGAATGCACACACATCAGCACCAGGAGTTGCTGGAATCTGTGCCCTGTTTGCTGCATACACGCTATTATCTCTTGACAACTGGATAGTTTCGAACACAATGTATACTCCTACCTAGCTGACACTTTTGACAATACCCAAGATTTTCTACAGAACGCAACACGAAACGTAGCCACCATTAGTGCCCAGGAGCGCACTATACGGTCATGCTCGGGTACCTGCGGCGTGTGTGTCCTATGGCCCTGCTAAACGGTCTTGTCTTATCGACGCTGCAGTGCGCATCCCACGCCCTTCTAATCTATCATAGATTAACTTCCGTAGCTTGGCCGCCTCTTGGAACGACGATGCTGCAGCGGAGCTTATCCGATGCAGCAGGGCTATCAATGTCATCAATATGTGGTGGGAAGATGCGGTAGACGTATACGGCACTAGTTGTTTTCACGCAGGAGCTGAGCACCCACGGTTTGCAGACTACGAAGGTCTTTTGTTGTCTACAGGATTGGTTGTGTGCACCTCTGAGGAATACATGAGCCTCTGTTCCAGCACGCAGAAAAGTGAGCATTTACTGTATAACATCAGAGCACATCATTGTTTGGGGACAATCCACGGAGTTCAGGTTGTATGCTTGTAGCGAGAGATCGTTGAAACTGCTAGTCCTTGCGAGGGATCTAGCAGTGTAAGAGGATTTGGTCTAGTGATTAAAGTGGTAGTAACCGAGCAAAGTCTATGGCGGATAGTATCGTATCGCCCGTGAGAACGACCCTCGACAGCGAAGAAGAATACAAATGAGATTTCGAGCGAGTCAAAGGCTTTTTTTCCAGAATCAAAGTGGCCGAAGCCAATGTTGTTCGTACCAGAGAACCATCCCACCAAAATCATCATCAAACATAGATATCCAGAACCCCAAAACGCCACCCAGATGCCCGCTATACATAGCCCCATATTTGTTGTCGTAATTCGTGCTTTCGTATCGTCAGAAGTTCATTCCTCAAAGTCTTCATACAGCATGAAGCCAGGTTGAGCGCGCATCTTCTTGGCGCCCCGCCCTTGGTCCCAAGTTGGCGATGCTGGCCGGGAGGTGGCGCGTGATGGCGGTTGGGATGAGTACATCTGAGGATACGATTGCTGTGCCGAGAATTGGAAGTTGTACGCCTGTGGGAAGCTGTCCAGAGAATGCGGGCGGTGGAGGGCGTACCCAGCCTGGGCTGACATCTGGTCTGCTGTAGGACTGAGCATCGTTGGCGAGAAGTAGCTCTGGCCGCGCTGGTGCGAGGCGTACTGCTGTGTAGGTGCGGGTGCAGGCATGGCAGTACCGTAAAAGTTCATGTTGCCTTGGTTTGGAGCTTGGCTCGCTGGGGTGGGGTTCATCATCCGAGGGTACTGTGCTTCCCGTGGGAAAAACATGCTCTGCGAGTGTGGCAATCCGGGAGCTTGTGGGACAATGGGCGTCGTGGGTAATGAGTACTGGCTGCTGCAGACGGTCGGAGAGTATTCTGACATGGGCATTGTGTACTGGAGGGGCATGTTCTCATGTGACCCAGTGGGAATAGTCAAAGAGCTCAGGGCCTCTGAGGGACTTTCCTTGTTCTTGTGGTCATCTGTGATCTGTACAATCTCGGAGACTTCCTGAGCGAGTACGCTCTCGTTGGCGTCCTTGAAGGTGAAGATGACCCTGTAGCCGACGGGGGACTTGTCTTCTTGATGTCTGCAGTAGCACGTTATGCGCATGACGAACTCGACTTTCTTGGCGTTCATAGAGAAGTCGGAGTTATCGTTGTCCTGCCATCTCTTGAACTCCTTCTCGTTAATCATGATGATGCGGTCGTCCTCGTAGTTGGACCACTCTTTCTCATCGTCAGCCTCGCGCTTCTTCTTGCGGTTGAATCTTTTGGCTTCGCGTTCCTTGCAGCCTTCGCAGATGATGACAGCGCCGCCATTTTGGGGGTGGCACCGGTCGTCTTTGGCGATGTCTGTGATGGCGACGCCACGTGGGCGCCTTGGCGTGGGCTCCTCGCCGCGGGCACGGCGGAAAGCGCGTTCCAGTCCTTCTGGCTTCTCAACGGCGGTTGCCAGAACAAGAGTCAGCTGTAACCGGGCAGTGGAGTTGTTCTTCTCGTTGGCCTCAACCTCCTCGGTGCTGGCCATCTGCTTTGGTTTGGCGAGATTCTGGCGGGGGAAGCGAATCCACTGGATGTGCGAAGCGAGCGGGTCCATGGTCACGGTAGTTTTGATTTGCGTTTCGGCCCGGTTCTTGTTCTTATCAAGAGCGATAGAGACCTTGGCCTGCTCGAGGGCCTGGGGGATGTGGATTGCAGGCCAGCTGTCGTTGGTAAGGGATTCATTGCATGTCTCCGGGGAGCTGGTCTGGCTCTGGTCCCGGTTGTACTCGCCTGGTGAGTTGGCATTGCTGAAGATGAATTGGTCGTGGGGCGAGGGTGTGTTGGAAGTGGGTGTCGAATGGGCCGTGTTGACAAAGTTGCTGAATTCGTCCTCGGTCTTGATGCACGGGTAGCCTTGGCTGGAGAAGGACGTCAGGTCGAGGGCCGAGTCCTGTTTCCGGCTTGAGCGCTCGCTTGTGCCAGGTAGGACGCCAACGGCATCGTACGACTGGAAGGCGTTGGGATCAATGCGCATCTGCCAGAAGGAGTCCTGGAAGTCGCCGTGGTTTTCGAGGTCCTGGGGATTGACAAAGGTGTTGAAGTTCTGCATCGTGTCCATGGCGGGCAGACGTCTGGGTAAGAATTGTGGGCCGGAGAGGGTCCCGCGGGCGATCTTGGGTTAAACGAGAGTGGGCAGTGAGGGAGATGATGCGAGGACAGAGACAACCCGTGGGTCAGAGGAAGCGACAGTCTGGGACTATAAGGCTACGATGGACTGGGAACAGTGTGTGGGTGCAAGCGGTCGTGGCCACTGCTGGTGAGGGGTCTGCTCGCAAAACCAAGGGTGCAGGTCAGCGCTGCGTAAGTGATGGGCACGACCGGCTATGGGCCAATGAGACGCGCGCGAGCCAGGCTGCGCACCGGAGCGGTCGGCGGGCGGGGAGACGCGTCAGGGGCAGCTTGGGACGATGAGACCACAGTTGCTGCAGGCTTGGAGTGGGATGGGCGAGCTGGACGGGTGGTGAGGGGAGTAGTGAGGCAGGCAAGCGGGGTGCGGAGGAGGGAGGAGGTGGGTTATGGGGATGGGGACAGGTGAATAGAGGCGGTATTTCTCTTAGCAACACCCCACTGAGGTTCGCCGCAGTCTAAGGCTGCTGGCTGCTAACCAACGTCGAATAATCCCTGCCCATGCGAACGACACCACCCAGAGCCGGAGCGGGCGCCTGTGTAGAGGTACATCGATGCCATGACAGCGCTGCCTCGCCCGCCCGGCTACCCAGGCCGATCCACAGCTGTCCGACGCCCCAGCGCACTGGGCTCGGCGCTACCCATTATGCCTCAATTTTTCAAACTCCACTCTGCCGGCGTAGTGAATTGTCTATTCTCCCACTTGCACTGCGAAACCCGTGCCAGTGCGGTCCACCGCGGGAGATGTACCTGAACTTCCAGCGCACGCCCCGTTAGCTGCAGATTCTTCACCCTGCACTCTCTAGACTCTGACAGCGGCTGGAGTCGGCTTGCTGTGCGACCGCGCCGTTGTGCTCAATCAAAACACTGCATCGTGTCCCAGGCCTGCATGCGAATCATCCTGCGCCATTGCGTCGAGGCCTGTCCACCATGCACGCCTCAGATCCACGCCAGCCCTCGACTTGGCCTCTCGCGGAGTCTCATCCGGCAGACCGAGCCAAGCCAAGCTGCCATCTGGGCGCCTGTCCACACGCCTCGAATGGTGCCACCGACCGCCTGCCTGCCACAAACCTTCCACGCCTGATCGTCCACTCAGGCATCCCGGGCCCCAGGGTACCTCCAGCGCACGTCCAGCTGCACTTGCTGTCCATGCCTGTCGACCTGTCTGTAAAGTTTGTGATAATCAGTTGCAAATTTCACCACCGTCGTCGGACGCAGCCTGCCGCAACACGCATCCATCTGTGACCTGTTGCGACGCTGCCGTCATTCGCCCTGTTAAACCCCAGGATTTAGTCTTTAGCCCCCGCTCCCAGTGGCGACGGAGCACACCGCTGGGTTTCTCGGAATGCAACTACTCAAAGTCGCCATATCCCACTCGATGACACAAGTTGCGGCCAGACCACACCAACTTGACCCCAAACGTTTGTATCACAAAGTGCAATATTGCGAAACGACCTGACTTCTGTGTCGCATATCCAAATAGAATCCGCCGAACTGATGCAAATCTTTGCTGCCCTTGATGATGCTTTTGCACGGCCGGGCTTCCGCGTGGCTTTGCGGACATTTGGCCATTGGCTGCTTGTCGCCATGATACTCACCGTACAAGCCGAACACCTGCCAAGCCACCCTAGCAGCAGAAGCACACCTATTGAACAGTCGCCCAAACCATCGACTATCGACTTTGTTCTACGATGCTTCGAATCTATGCACGGTCTTACATCCGGTGCTTCCTGTATGTCGAAAGAACTAACATCTGCAACAGACGTGGATGGCATGCAAACTTTTCCACGTCTCTGCTTGTGCAGCGTCCCATGTTGCGCCGTGCTATAGCAAAAGCCATTATACACCAGGGCATCTACCTAGCACCAGACCAGATATAGGAACAATCTTCCCCTGCAGGCGATCCTGCGGCAGGACATGAGAGACCCCGTCAAACAGACCGTACCAAGGACAAATCGTTTCTTCTGTCTTGCACCTAGGGAAACCGTACCATAAAGGCATGGGCGGGCCGTATGCTAGGGCTTCGTGCTGACAAAATAGATACGGTGTAGACATTTGGGTAACAGCATACCTAGGTGCAGATCAGAAGGAACGAACTTCCCCGTTGCGAGCATCATGACTTTGGCCAGCTTGTGCAATCGGTCCTGCGGGTAGATAGTCGCTTGATAAGATAGCGCTTCCGTACCGTTCTTTACATATCAATCCAACCATGGAATACTATGCAGTAACCCGACTAGTACGCAGACCCCATTGAAATTGGGCAGGAATATGCGACAATCGCTTTTGATTGCAGACGGCCACGTTCCCAGATCTTCTTGATTTTCCATGTACGCGTATATTGATCTGTACATGATGGTTGAGGTATACATCATCTCGCTATAATGCCGCACACTAACGCATAACCTGGCCAAGATCTTCACGGTTCTACTTGAAGAAAGATCAGTCTTAATGCGTTTACGAGTGCTACGTATCAGGGGAAAATGTGGTACGTTACAGCGTGCTGTAATGGCTTGAGTTACTCAGCTGGTGTCGTTGAACAACTGTTCGTTTCACGACATGTGGAAGTGGTGACAACCTTGTGTCTAACTGGCCTTATCTGAGGCCATCGGTATGCTCAAGCTTGATGACGCCAGCTGCGATACAAGAAGCTCTCATACCAGTAACCTCTTGACACCTCAGACGACAACCAAAAATTAAACACGTTTGCAGACTACATCGAGATGAAAACATGCAAAGTGGGAGACCTAACGGCAATGTAGACTTCAAGATGTTTAGTCTTCTCCCACTGTTGTGCTGCGTTTCATCATCTTGCTGTCGCTAGAGACGTCAAGCGGCTCATGTTGTGGCACAGTTGTGCCATGGCTGACTATACAGGTGGTGTATACGCCATCTATCCAACACAGCGATGAGGCCAAGCGCACATCCAATCATTCGGGTATGCGGCGCTCTGACGAAGAGCAACCGCCGTATATGCACTGTATTCGCAATCGTTCGCTTGTCCAAACCCACGAATAGGTCAGCGTTGCCCGACACCAACTCTCGAACCACACAACCTCCTCAGGTGCAACACAACCTTCGATGCATACCCATCTGCCAATATCTGCGCACCCAATTCTGTCGCCTGCCCCTGCCCATCGTCGTCACGGACCAGGTCCCCTGTAGCCTGCCATGCTGCCTCGAGACGGACGCCGTTTCTACATTGAGCCTCCAGGTGGTGTGATTGTTGGCTCAACGGCACGACACGAACTCAACGGTCCCAGCAACAAGCAGATAAGTGGCTATGGTATAAAGTAGCCGCATGGCAAGTACTCAGTACATAGGATTCTTACCCCTCTCTTCCCACACGCGAGGAATTACACCCTGTCGCTGGTGCTGACAATCTGCAGCATTCCCATGGGCACGATACCGTTATCGCGGACGCGCCGCCAGCCACTCAGGTGATTCTGCAACCCTAAGCAGACGCCTCTTACGTTTCCGCGCAAACTTCTCGACGCTCGACACTGAAACGTATCTAGCGCGCGTACTGGTGCAGGACGCGTCCAGGTTGTAAGCGGAGCTTCCGTCTTCCAAGGAAAGGACCTTTTGACAAGCTGGAACACATGAATAGGTTTTTCCCCACTTCCCACTTTCTCCTGCGTCGTGCACTACGGCAATACATTGTTAGCAGCAACCACTGTATACGAACGCCCTGGAGGCTATTGACAGTTCTAGCCGTGCAAAGTTGCAACTAGAGCAGCCTGACTCCCGGCGTATGCTCCAGAGTACGTCTTGCTATTACGATTGGAAACATTAGGACCGTCGTATGCTTCACGGGATGTCAGGTTCCCAAGGCTGCTTCCATACAACAACTTCAACGCGAGAGCCGCAAATGGTATTACTCCCGCTATGCTTACTACCCGCTATCCGAAATCTCTTCACCGTGTTTCGTTCCGACGCGCCTGTTCGATCGTCACTGCCACCCATTTCAGCCTGCTAACCTTCACTTGCTCATGCCACATCCTCTCTAAGCCATCGGCTGCACGCCTGGAATCTCGACCCATCTGTGGGCGGCGAGGCGGCTAAAATGCGCGATTCTAGCGCCAACGTAAGCGTTAAGCTTTGGCCGCCAAGCATCCGCTCGCCTGCTGCGGGCACGCCTCCGGGACTACTGAATGGGGAGCTACCCGGCACGGCAAGCGGATCGCATAGGCATCGCATCGTTAGCCATGCGATATCAAAATAGTCTTTTTGACGGATACAGACACGGAGATTATGGACGTTAGATGCTTTTTTCGAAATAGGCTACGTCTACACCGTCTCCGCAACCTTGCACTACCAGCCTTGTACCAAGCGCACGTCAAAACCTTGTGAAATTGTCGGGTCCGCGGTTCGCGATGTCGGCGCGGAGGCGACCGACAAGCCGGAGCACAAGTGGAAAAGATCTCATGGACTAGACCGAAGTCGTGCCGTAGACGAAGGTCGTTTTCCCTAAGCGTAGCAGAGGCTGACGACGATGGAGCATGGGCTGGATGTAACAGCGGGAATAGTAGGGCGGAGATGCGCCGTCCTCCTTCGAGATGGGGACCCACGCGATGGATGTACAGGTACATGTACACATGACGATTAGTGTCCGCGGAGGCTGAACATGACTCCATGCAGGGCCGATTAACGATTGATATGACAGCCCTTTACAAGGCGCTGCAGCCCGATTTGTAAAGTATATTCGCAAGGGATTGCCCTCGTTGCGGTGGTACTCGTCGCTTACAGCCAACTGCTTTCTGCTACCCGCGACAAGCCCGGCACTTGGTTGTTATTCCACCCCACGGACGAAACACGATCAATTTGATGTGTCGTCCAGAACGCCTATTATGGCGCCCGGAGGTTCTCGGGCTCTTTTGTGGATCGAAATCGTACGCGAATAGTTTCATGTAGACCTCAGTCTCGACCTCGACTCTGACTGACACCACCGGGTATGGTACCAGTCGTACACCGGTAACATCGGTGTATATTCGCGGTATATCACACTCGCATTCGCGTTCGGACCGATACACTGATTTTTCAAATCCCATGCGGCTTTCATGATTGTGTTTTGATCACAACATCACATGTATTGAGATTGATGGATTTCGACGCGGCCCATGGGATTGCCAGCCTAAGGATTGGACGACACCAACATGAAAATGTTCCAGATGATTGTGATCGATGCGAACAGAAGAGAGGAACAGGAACAGTTTTAGATGGACGATGCTTCCGAATCCAAGTCTTTTGGACTTCGAAGACATGTATGTGTGGATTTCTGGCTACGCGTGACAGATACATGGGTCGTCAGCGGCGATATTTTGAATATCTGAGATAGCCAAGACAAAGACATAGATCCTCTGGCGCAGGTTTTGGAAGTTTCTGAGAACTTGTAGCCATGAAGTAAGGTAGCATAACGTGTAGAAGAGCGGACGTAGAGCGGTGCAGGTGGGCTGCACCTTGCTGTATTAGGACGAACCGCGGTGGGGCGATGAGCTCACATCAAGCACAAGGAAACACCAAACGACGCGTTCCGACGCGACAACCCGCGCAATCGTTTGTTTGCGACTTCCCCATTCCATTCCACGACGTCCGACGCCGTCACGCGACTCAAGATGTTTTCGTTGCCTATGATCGCGCCGCGCCCAGTAAGTGCATCTGGAAATACTCCAAACACAGGCCATACCAGAACAGCAATTGACAATATCTCCAGGACGCCAGCCTCTGGCCCTCCCACCACACCACCCACGCCGCTTTCGAAGATACCCACCCGAATTCCCCGCCAGACACAGCCCACGGCCAAAACCAGCGACGCCCTACCTCGCACCATGGCCCTCGTCGCATTCAAAACCAGTTCCTCGCCAGTCTAGCCGCCGACGAAAACACAATCGCCCAGCGTAAGCTCAATGTTCGCAGATTCGGCGCGGGCTGGATCCGCCCGCCCGGTGTCACCAAAACACTCCAAGCCAGGGAGGACGAAAAGTTCGAGAAGGAGGAACAAGAGATGATGCAGCGCAGAGAGCAAGCTATGATGGATTTGGCAGCCGCACAACAAGACGCCGCAAATGAGGAACAAAGGGAGAGAGGAGAGATGGCGGAAGAGGCTGGAGAAGGCGAAGAAGAAAGAGACCTTGACGACGAAGTCCCCGAGGCCGAAAGTACACCCAGCGCATCCGCCTCCGAGGTCTCCAGTGACGAAGAATCAGAGGAGGAAGCTAGCGAAGTCAGCGGCGATGTCCAGGAAGAAAGCACAGTACCGTTCAACGAGGATAGCTTCATTGAGGGCAGCATGTTGGAAGCAGAAGTATCGCATATGTTGGAGATGGAGGAGGCTGAGATGGCAGGCGTCCTGCAAGATGAGCGCGATCTCGATGACGATGTACCAGAAGCCGGGAGTTACGAACACACGGATTCCGAACTCGAAGATGATAGCGACGTGGATAATAGCGCCCTTCCACCTGGTCTGGCTTCTGCGCGTTCGACGCGTTCACATAGACGCCGCTCCAGTGGTCGTCGTATATCGAGCCGCAGAAGTTCGGGATTGCCTGGGGGCATGATGTTTGGAGGCGGACATCCCGCTGTTGGAAGGGTTAGTCTGGGTGTTGATCTGGGGAATGGGCGTAGTAGCTTCGGCATGGATGGTAGTAGTTCGCTGCTTGAGGGCAGCTCGTTCTTGAGGAGCTCACCTGCAGGGAATGCGGCGGCTAACAGGGGCAGTCTGAGAGATAGGTTCTTGGGGGCCGCGAGGGGTGGCGGTGGAGGAGGCGGAAGGAGGGCTTGATGTTGGAAGTGTGGCAATGATTATGAATGTACGATAGAGATACCCAGTAGCTCGATAGAGCCTGACTGTATTCAGATGAGCAACAAGCCCGTTTCATGCTACCAACATACAAGCCAGGAGGTACCCATCCCATTCTACCATCGCTTCTACCCATACCAAACACGACCGGGACGACAACATACCCCTACACCTCAGCTAGCATCTCCTCAAACGCCTTCCCGAGGAAGCTACCTGCCTCCCCAAACATTTCCGCGCGCTCCGCCCTCTCCTCGTCGGAGTCCAAGCCCAAAACATGACTTACACACCGCATAGAATCTTCCAGGGCGCCCCTGCCTTTCAGCAGCAGGTAGTACTCCAGCCGGGTCTCTATGGAGCACTCTCCATCCACACACTCGCCAACATAGTCTCCATCGACTGCGCCGCTCAGCTGATAGATACGCTGCTGCCATTCGTCGTCGGCAACGGTCATCATCTCTTCCATTCCCCGTAGCAATGACGCCAATGTAGGTACTGAGCTACTGTGGATGGCCCACAGTGCGTTCAGCTTGCCAATGGTGGCGTTGATAAGCTTGTGGTCTGACATGAGGTCATGAGCGATCGAGCACCGGGCTTGTTTTGGGCTCAAACAAATTGGGTCTGATTTGGCGACCAGTATGCGTTCCTTGTTGTAGAGTTGAAGGTGAAATGGGTATCTGAGGTCTTCTAGCACCAGAAGAGGTGGAGCAAAGGTGAGGGTGCTTGCTTCAAGCTCTTCCGGCTTCAGGATGCTGATGAGGTACATGAGGTTACCACTATTCCACTCGATAGGCTCATCCGTGTCATCAGAAATCGGCGAGGAGGGCGCTGTGGACGAATCATCCATGCTGGACAGACTTACGCGAGAGCCGCGGGAGGAGGGAGGGGTCCATTTGAGGTTAGGAACCCATTGAACACCAGGCTCGCCCAGAATAGTGTGCTGGATGTTGTGAGATACATTGTCGCTGTCATAGCCAGGCTTGCTGCTGGTGTTGACCTTGAGGAATACATCGGTGTCGACGGTCTTCATAGGCTGCGTAGGAGACTCGACGTATCTGTCACTGAAGGGGTTGGCGGAAGTTGCTGCTGACGTGGCCATCATGTCGGATTCAGCGTGATTGCTGATCTGAGCGCTGTCAGGGGGATTGATGGAAAAGAGCAGATGGTGATGCTGAGTGTGGGAAACGGAGCTGTCAGGAGTAGAAACTGCGAAGACGACGGGTATTAATAGGGTTCGCTGGCTTATCGAACAATGGCTGGTGACAGTGGCTATTCAAGCCCCGCGGTAATCATGAAGGCGCAATGTTGCTGCGGTGAACCGCCTGATTCACGTAGCATTGTCTGAAGATGGGAAACGCGGCAATAAGAAGATACGGTAGAAAATGAATGCGGGTACATTGACGAAGGGGTCGGAGTGTAGCAGATCACCTGTTGTACGTGACCTATAGTTGCAGCAAACTGATAGCTTCGTCACCTTATAAACAGTCGTGCAGTGATTCGTCCTAGTCATGCATTTCAAGTGATGTCGTTCATTTTCCTTGTGTCCATCCCAGCGGTAATTATATACAAAGCTCAGTGGGTCGCAAAGATGTTGCGTGTGCGCAGGTGGACTGGGGTCTCGCCCTTTGGCGCATCTGGTATCGTCTTCTCCAATTTCTGAAGTGGTGTTAGCGAAAGACGTAAGGCACAACGATAACCGCGACATACCAACTTCTCGAATACACACTTGTTGAGCTTGCGCTCTTCTGACCGGCAGTTCCAGAGTTGTTGGTTGTGGTTCTCTAGGCATTGCCAGTGGGTGCGGAACTGTTCCAGGCAGTTCTCGTTGATGTCCTTGATACTGCCACTGCTGTCAATACCCAGGGTTCTATATTGGGCCTTCCGCCAGTACGTACACGCTAGCCGCACACCTGGTGACCTTGCGGCCTTCCTTCATGCAGTCAAACTCTCCCCGGCCGTTGGCCTCGGTCTTGCACATCATGTAGTCATCGTTGTAGGCCTTGCATCGTGCGCCAATGAAGAACGAGGCACTTAGGAGGGGCGCAGAACTGGCTCCGAGCTCCTTGACCTTGGGGATGTCGTCGGGTAGAGGGGTGGTGTCGATAAGGGCTTGCTGGTTGAACCTGCAAATTAGTCAGCATATGTGAGCGCCATAAGATTGGCAGAGAGCGCTTACCTGGGCTGGCGCGACGACATCTTGAGGGTGAGGTGCCAATGGCGGGCTATCGGCTCACGAATTGGCGATGATGCTCGTGAGGTCGTCGCGGAAGTCGGTCTTGGCGCTCACTAAAACTGGCAGGGATGCGATGGGCCGCGCTTGTGCCTGACCTTTGTGAGCGAGAGACAACAATCTCTCACTGCGCCATCTGCACCTCCACCGCGCCCTTACACGCCTCTCCTGCTTCTCATCAATCAGGATGCGCGCCGATTGATTGTTTTTGTGAATAATACCAGCGCCTACTTTCAGCGATCGCCTCCTTCGCGTGCCTGCGCGCGACCGAAAACAAACATTGGAAGCTCCTCCATCCGCGACCTGAATAACGTCACTCGTTCGAATCACTATCGAATCTGCCCAGAAGGACACGCGCATACTACGACTTCTATTCAACATGTCTTTTAGCTTTGGAAACCCGGCAGGCGGAGAAAAGAAGACGGGCACTCTGTTTGGAAGCACCACAGCACCAGCTGGCGGTCTTTTCGGTCAATCGCAGCAGCAACAGCCGCAGCAGTCGAACACGACACAGTCCAGCCTCTTCGGCTCATCAACCGCCCCTCAACAGAACAACACCAATAGCCTGTTTGGCTCGACACAGCCGCAGCAACAGCAGCAGAACTCGGGATCGAGCTTGTTCGGCCAGCCCCAACAACAACAGCAGAACGCAGGCTCAAGCCTCTTCGGACAACCTCAGCAGCAACAACAAAATGCCGGCTCAAGTCTGTTTGGCCAGCCTCAGCAGCAACAGCAACAGCAGCAGCAGCAGGGGCAGCAACAACAGCCAAACATGAGCAACAGCCTCTTCGGCGCCTCATTGCAGCCTGCGCCCGTCCTGAACAACATTCAGGCGCAAAGCATCCAACAACAGCGCGAAGGGCTTCCGCAGTTGCGCCAGTCCTCCGCGCAACCTTTCGCTGCTAATACCATGAACGGTCACAGTACGGCACCTCGAGATCACCGCTGAAGTCGCGCTAACACTTGCCAGGAGAGAAGTCGGTCATCGAGCAGATACGGATCCTGAATAACAAGTGGGATCCCAGCAGCCCCGAATGCGTCTTCCAATACTACTTCTACAACTCGGTCAAGCCTGAAGAAGCGCCCTTCTACGGTCCCTCGCAGGGTGAAGACGAACGGAAATGGGAGGAGGCTTTGTCCAAGAAGCCAAGTCCAGGTGCTATTCCCGTGCTTGCGCGTGGCTTTGAGCAAGTTGGAGAACGCATCAAGCAACAAGCAGCCGCTGTCACCGCGCTACGAACCCGCCTGCACGAGATCAACAATGCACTATCGCTTCTCAAAGACGCCCATGAGCTGACGGTAGCATCGCGCATCACCGAAGCTAAGCGCAAGCACGTCGTCTTCACCCAGCGAACCTTGGCCCTTGCAACCAAGGTCCAGATCTTGCGAAACCGGGGATACGTTATGGATCAGCCAGAGGAGGAATTGAAGAAGAAGCTCATCGAGTTGGAGAAGCAGACCTTTGATCCTGTGCTTGGCGGGCGACAAGAAGAGATCTGGGCGCGCATGTCCGGCGTGCGCGAGCGGGCGCGCATCCTACAAGAGGAGACTGAGAAGCTGGGCAAGACGATTGACCAGCAGCAAAACGGTGAGCTTCTTACAGGTGAAGACCAGAAGGCGTTGGAGAAGGTAAGAAGCCCATCTCATGATCCCTCACGCATACTTACACCGTATCTTAGCTCCTCAAAGACTACGACCGACAACTCGAGCATCTCAAGAAGTGGGTCGACGACACCAGAGACGAATACGACGAGTGGGAGACTGCAAAGCAGTCAAGGCCGGCAAAGCGATAAGGGCATAATACGAGGGCGCATTTGTCATGTACGATTCATAGGTGATGTAGAGGTTATATTGCGAAAAGTTGGGCGTTGCGAGATACCATGCAGCAGCGGACGGATGCATAGAAGGCGTACAATCAAGCGTTGCATAATATTCATCGTCTCATCATTGCGCACATGTCAGATGGCGTTTGGTGAGTTCTCTTTGCTTCTAGACGTATGCGTCGATCCCCATATACTGTAAGGGTATTTGTGTCCGTTCAACCAGTAATGTTACAAGCGCATGTATTCCCTAGGCCATGCGAGTATGTTGTACAGTAGTTCGTTGGTATATTGCTTCATTCTTTCACTCCGTCTGTGCGTACACCTGTTCATGTCCAGCGCTTTAGATTTTGCGGACGAGTTCGTAATCGCGGGGGCAGTCGCTGCTTAGAAGAGTTTCGAGACGTATTCGACGAGATGAGGTGCTGCAGGCTGTTAGTCTCCATCCGACCACCATGTAGTCCCAGATCATTCTTACAGAAGTACAGCACGACAGCGCTGGCAGCTGTCCACTTGATATCGGTCATAGTCTGTGCCTCGGCCGCGGCAAGCTCCTGCTTGGATGGTTGTGGTGGTGCTGTCGTGCACGTCAGCCTTGTTGTCTTGATTGCGTCAATCCCTGGCAAAACTCACCTCCGAACATTCTGGCGGTGTGTTGTGTGAAGAGTGGGGTGAGGCGATAGAAGGGGCTGTAAAGCGACAGGCGGTATGTGAGTTGGGTATCTCGAAGATGACGTTTACGGTGCACTTGGATACGCAAAAGTTTGGATTGTCGGCGTTTGGGCTGCGATGTTGCCGATGCGGTCGGTCACGTGGTTGCGCGCACCCTCCTTCCAGATCGTTCGTTTTGCTCGCCGTTTCTCTTCAGCATGAACAGCAGAGATTGTTTTGAACCCTCTTTTTTCGATTGTCTGGTTCAGCATGGCAGGACTCTCTTTCACGCAGGGAAACCGACAACAGTTCATCAAGTCTTCCGTCCCTCAATCTATGGATGACAAGAAAACTGCTTGCTCGAAGAATGGATGTCTTTCACTCGGACCTGATTATCGGTCTTCGGGGATTTCAATTCCTCCTTATCCCGACTGATCAGTCGAGCATGTTGGATTTCTTGTACGAACAAGCTGTCCTGTACAGCAAAACGGACCGATGTACACTTGAACAGACATGCTGTTCACTCATCAACCCGCATACCCTTGACATATTTTCTTTGGAGCTGACACGAATTCTATCAATCCCCAACTTCAACCTCCCAATCTGGCAACCTCCAATACTTCGATGACCAGCCCAAACTGAGACCAGGCCCCAGGCTGAATCAAAGGCGCATTTCTTCAACCCCCAATTCTGTCATTTTCACATGCTGTCATCTCTGGTAACCGTCACCTTCTGAAAGAACATCATTTCATACATCAATGCACCTCCTACAATTAAAAAGCTGAACAGTTCTGGAGCCTACATCGACGTTAGTTTACTTGAGTTGCATGTTTCTATATTAATGTAGGCTGCAGACCTATTCAGTTTTTCCCTAGGTTGACGTGAATGTGCATTCGCCCCTGTCTTGAACCTACACAGGGCACGGAACCAGGTCAGTGAAGCTCGTGGCGCGGTGATGTCGAATTACCGGGAATAAACCCGCAAGCACGTCCACCTGCCGAAATCTGGGGGCGAGATATGTAGAATGAACAGACAGGTGCGAGTATATTCAGCGGCCTACAACAGCATATAACTCGCAGATGACAACTTCTAAGAACAATGTGCTTCTAACATATGTACTTCTTCTTCTGATATGTAGCTATGCGGTTAGCGTTGCCTCAGATGAAGTGGTGGTTTTCCATTCATTGCGAGGCTAACGCAGGAGGCCGAGACTCAACAATGCACCCGCGTGCCCGCAGTCCGTGGAGGCATCATGCGCCCAACGTGCAGGTCGTACAATCTGTGTCGCCCCCATCCAGGACTCCGGAATTGGTATATGGTTTGATTGCGAAAGCTAACATTGGGCTAGCTCGCGCTGCAATGATCCGTTGCGAACCGGTGAACTAAATGTTTCAGATCTTCTAAACACGCCGTCAACAAGAACGCCACAGATTCCGATCCGAGCCCGAACAGCAATGCACCGCGCAGCCTGCGTGCCCAATCAGCGAAGCAAATACGCATCGCTGATCGCCGGATGTAGTCGCGGTCGATCGGCCCTACAACGACCCCAAATGATGACAGGGGCGACAAAAGATCCGCCCCTACTCATGCTGTATTAATATGTGATCTTGCGGAAGTCTGACGGCCTTCAACTTCTGTTGTTCACTTTCCCGTCGCTCTTTACGTTCTTTACCGAAGATGTTGCTCTCCGCATCTTCTGTTGTGTTGGCATTGTACTCTTCTTGCGCAGTCGCGCTGTCCGCTCCTTCTAACAACGGCTATGTCCATGGATCCTCCAACCTACACTTCGCGCCCCGCCACGCCCATCCCCATGCAAGACCTCGCCAATCTGTAGATCAGGATGCGTCATGTGCTCCATACTGGATGGAAAATATCAAACACCAGGGCATTGCTAGCTACAATCCGAACCCTGGCAACTACACCGTCTTCCGGAATGTCAAGTCTTTTGGCGCAGTCGGCGATGGAGTCCATGATGATACTGCCGCCATTCAGAGAGCGATCTCTTATGGTGGCAGATGTGCGCCTGGAACTTGCGGGAGTTCTACTAACCAGCCTGCCGTGGTGTACTTTCCAGGTGGTACATACAAGATCTCGAGTGCTATCATCGACTATTACTATACTCAGGTATGTACTCTGTCCAGTGCAAGATAGATGGGATCACCAAAGTCAGCCAAGCAAAAAAAGGAAGCGTACCCTAGAAGTTACACCCACTTCTGACTTATCTACGTATGGATGAAGATATGGTGCACACCTGTAGGGTACATGCAACACGTTGGACTTTACTTGGAAACAGGCACTTGTGATATATAACGTTGTGACTGACTCATTAAAGATCATCGGAAACCCAAACTGTCTTCCTACCATTCAGGCTGCCTCCAACTTCTCTGGCTCAAGTTTCGGCCTGATCGACGGCTCTCTATACGGCGATAATGGACTTGGTTTCAATCCTACGGTCACCTTTTTCCGCCAGATTCGGAACCTCATCATTGACACAACAAAAATGTCGGCTAAGGATTCACCTACTGGAATCCATTGGCCAACTGCACAGGCGACGAGTATCCAGAACGTGATTTTCAACATGAACGCCGAAAACGGAACGCAACATCAAGGTCTTTTCGTTGAGGCAGGATCCGGTGGTTTCATGACTGACCTCGTTTTCAACGGTGGAAACAAGGGATTCATCGTCGGAAACCAGCAATTCACCACTCGAAACATTACCTTCAATCATGTCACCACCGCTATTGAGCAGCTCTGGGATTGGGGCTGGACGTACAAGTCAGTCTCGATCAACAACTGCCAGGTTGGACTCAATATGACCAACGGTGGTCCTTCTGCAGTCAATGTGGGGTCAATCACCTTCTTTGACAGCGAGATCACAAACACCCCGATTGGTATCGTTACCTCCAGGACCAAGAACTCCGAGCCTGCTGCTGCCGGATCCCTTTACCTGGAAAATGTTAAACTCGACAATGTCCGTACCGCTGTAGCTGGTCCCAACGGAACGTACTTAGCAGGATCTTCTGGTGCTTCGACTATCGAAGCTTGGGTTGACGGTCACCGATACCTGCCTCAAGGTCCCGTAGAGGTGCGTGGCGCTATTGACCCAACCAAGCGCCCGGCAGAACTGTTGGGTGCGGATGGCAAATACTACGAGCGCTCGAAGCCTCAGTATGGCGATGTTCCCCTGTCGCAGTTCCTCTCCGCTCGTGATCTTGGTGCCACTGGAAACGGTCGAACCGACGATACCGATGCTCTCAACGCCGCGATCCTCCAAGCCAACGCCGAGGGAAAGATCCTCTTCATCGACGCCGGCTACTATTTGGTCACCTCTACAATTTACATCCCACCCGGTGCCACCATCATTGGAGAAGCCCTTGCCTCTGTGATTCTTTCCTCCGGCGCCTACTTCAACGACATGGCCAACCCCAAGCCAGTCGTCCAAATCGCCCGACCAGGCGAACAGGGCCGAGTGGAGTTGTCCGATCTCTTCGTCAGCACAAAGGGCGCGCAGGCTGGTGCCATTCTGATTGAGTACAATCTTGGTACCTATACCGACGAGCCTGCTGGTCTTTGGGATGTGCATGCGCGTATCGGAGGATTCGTGGGATCAGACCAGCAAGTCAAGCAGTGTGGAACAACGCCTAACATTACGACTACTGCCGCGAATCTGAAGGAGGAATGCATTGTATCCTACATGACCATGCATCTCACCAAGTTCAGTGCAGGACTGTACATGGAGAACAACTGGCTGTGGACTTCTGATCATGACCTCGACGGTGACGGCCAGCTCACTCTCTATGCCGGCCGTGGTCTGCTTGTTGAGAGTATCAACGGGAGGATATGGCTGTGAGTTTTCCGACCTTTGTAGTCTCGCCAACAGTCACTAATGCTATCACAGGACCGGCACCGCAGTCGAGCACCATGTTCTCTACGAATACCAATTCGTCGACACAAAGAACGTCTTCATGGGCCAGATCCAAACAGAGACAGCCTACTACCAGCCCAACCCCGATGCCACTCTGCCTTTCCCAAACAACCCCGCGCTGTCTGACCCAGTCTTCACACACAAGCCTCTGAATGGAACGAACTCTACATCCACCAGCACAGCGTCCGGCTGGGGTCTGCGCATCCTCCGCAGCAACAACATTCTCGGCTACGGAATAGGCCTGTACTCTTTCTTCAACAACTACTCGACGAATTGCTCGCGGGTTACGGAAGACGAGAAGTGCCAGTCGACCATTCTGTCGATTGAAGGGGGCCGCAACACGTATGATATTAATCTCTACAACGTGAACACTGTGGGTAGCACAGAGATTATCACGCGCGATGGAGTAGAGTTGGCAGACAACAAGGACAACAACAGTACCTTTGCAGACACCGTCAACGTTTTCAGAATCGGTGGCCTGGGTCTCGATCTAGATATTTCGTTGTAGATTAGATTGTACTTAGTGGGGCTTTTCCTGTATACAATTTTTTTCAACCCTCCAACTCCACCACAACACCACCCACTACGATTATTTGTCCTCTATTTTCCTAAACTTCCATCAATTTCCGATATGGTCTAGTGGCTAGGATTTGCCGCTCTCATCTGCAGAGTCAGTTCACTGTTTAGTGCCGGCAAGGCCCGGGTTCGGTAAGCTTCTTCGATTGCCCCTCAGTTCGATCTCCTCTAACAACGATTCAGATTCCCGGTGTCGGAATATCATCTTCTTTTTGCTCTCTGCATACTATAGAACATGTCGCAAGAGTGATAGAAGCTTCTTTTTTTTGCGTTTTGCTTCAAGGTCAAAATCTTTCTCTTTGGCGGGGTTCAAAGGTCGGGGAGGTTCTAGCTCAGGACTGTTATGAGGCCGCATTAGGCCAGCGAGCCTACATACAGTCTTCCTTGGCATGGACAGTGTCTCTTATTATATTCTTAGCCTCTAGGAGGATGTCGTAGTGAAGGTATATCATACTCACTTCGAATTATCAACACAACCTTGGTTAGTATACGTGATAAGCATGATTACTAGTTCAACACAATAAATAACAGCATTCAGGTTACGTTCAGAAGAAGAATACTGCATTCGATAGTGTACAAGAAGCTGGCTAACCCACACACCAACTCTGAAGCTACAAGTAACGCCCGCTATGCAATTTTACCATGCGTAGACCCCAAGAGTATGTCAGAGTACCAATGTGACGTCCAGAGCAGCTGATCAATGACCTTATCTAAAGCCGAACAGAAAAGAAAACGCAAACCGCATTTGAATGGCGTCGTAAGACCCAGCTCAGCGCCTGCCTCCGCTGCGACCACCCCTGATTTGCTTCATGATATCCACGTTGCTCGAACGACTGCGTGCGTTCTCGTTGAACACAACGTTGCTCTTGGGCGCAATGGTATACGTAGTGGGACCGGACTCCATGCGGGCACGCTGGAATGCCTTGGGGGCTTCGAGCTGCTTCTTTCGGTTTGCTGCGTAGGCGGCGGCTTGGCTGCTGGCAGCGGACCTGTCGGTAGTCTTGATTTGACTAAGGTTGTTAGCATACATAGCGAAATATGAAGGCGCAATACATACCTCGGGTCGTAGTCGGCCTGGGCAAACTCCTTCTTGCGGTAGTCGTCTGTCCGCCTAAGAATGGGACGCGTCCAGTCTGTAAAGAGGCGCTCGGCTTGTCGCTTGATGGTCAACTCGGGCTTCTTGCTCTTGATGTAGAACATGATGACCTTGCCGATGCCAGATGCGACAAGTGTGTCCTTGTTTACAGGTAACTTGGCTAATGAGGCCATGAGATCTTTCTGAATGTCGTACGCGGGAAGACTACCATCGCTTAGGGGCTCCAAGAAGAAGCGCACCGATTCGAGCAGGTTCACTTCGGGGTCCACGATGGTATCTCTCAGTGTGTTCTTGTTCAGGAGGGCGGTGACTTCTGGCAGAAGTTTGAGCTTGTGTCGTGCAGGCTCGTTGCGCTTTCGACCTTCGTTGTCGGCTTCGGCGGCAGCTGCCATACGGCGGCGCATCTCCTCAATCTCTTGGTCGGCCATTTGTTCAAGGTCAATGCCATCCTTCTTGCGGCGGCGATTCGAGCTGGTGCTAACGATGCTGTCGATTTGCGCATTAAGCTGCTTCTTTCGTCCTAAAGTCACAGTTAGTAGATATGAGGGTCTAGGTATGGTCATACATACGCTCTTCCGGGGTCAGATGTTCGTCTGGATCGCCCTCTGGGCTTGCGGCTCGGACCCTGCCTGCCTTCTTGGACCGCTTGCTTCGCCTGTCACCCTCTGCAATATCACCGTCATCGTCGCCATCCTTGTTCTTCTTGCGGCGAGGCTTCTCAGCCCTCTTTTTCTTCTTCTTTGGCTCTTCACCCTCAGCAGCAGTGCGCTTTCGCTTGTGTACACCAATCTGCTTGACGTTGTCTTCGTCGATCGCTTGCGCCGGGCGCTCATCAATAGCAACATTGTTGATATCGAAATCGCCAAACTGCTCGTCCATTTGGTCATCGTCCAGCGCTTCGGAAAGCACCGACTCATTGTCTGACAAGCCAGCCTCGATGTCGTCCTGGTCAGGCATCTCGCCGGGTCGGTCCTCTGTCACTTCCATATCTTGGTCTGGATCACCGATAGGGGGGTTCGGGGTAGCGTTCTCCTCGTCGATTTCGGGGCGCAGGGGATCAGCTGGGTCGTTGCCAGCCGCTGGTAACGGCGACCTCGAATGCGATCGGTTGAACTCAACGTCCTCCATGCTGGCTGTTTGGGCCTGGTTCGTCGAAATCAGGGTATCGATGAGAAGGCGCGGAGGATGCGAGATCGATTAACGGTGACTTGTCGCGGTAAAGGTGGACCAGGCGCGAACGTCGATCGTGAGATGCTCAAGGAAAGTTCAAGGGAGCGCGACGGCCATGACGCGCGGTGATACTATTTGCCGGGGCCGGGCTTGGCAAACGGAGGCGCGGCTGGTCCGCGATTGTCAAAGACCGCAGCCGCTCCTCCACCTTTGTTCGACAACTCACTCGCCTGACCACCAACCTCAGGCCCCCCACCATCACTACACCCCCGACGACGTCTTACAGAGTCTGCTCGACGCTGTTTGTCAGCTTCTCAACTGACGAGCTTCATCCTAGACGACATCCTACTAGGCTCCGCCATCGTCGCAGCACCTGAGTCACTTTGGGTCTCTATTGCGACACTTCCGCAGTTGCGCATCACCGCCTCATTGTTGGCTTGAAGGGGGAAGGGCATATATACAGAAGGAGGATTGCAGTAGCTGGGGGAGAGCGAGTTTGTTACTGCCTAGCTGTACCGGCGCAGTCTTCACACTGCGTCATTTGGCGCGGCCATAGCTAGTATCCAACACAAGCACTGTCATTACGTGTGTTCGTCGAGAGCGAGGAAGCATATCGTCTATCTTGTTCATCTGGCATCGACATCGTCAGCGTTGCGACTCCCCGACCGCAGAGTCAGCCGCTCACCCTGCCCTTTGCGCGCAAGTTTCACGTCTTCTAACACAGCACACATCCCCTCTTGTCTAACCCCAGATATTCTTGCCCATCATGTCTGTGTCAGCTGCTGAAGTGGCTGCCGACTTTCGGGATGCTCTGCAAGATTTGAGGATGAACAGCAGACCTGAGATTAGCAATCTAACCCTCATCGCCAAAGAGAACACAGAGTATGCGGAAGCCATATCCAACGAGCTTCAGAAGCATATCCAATCGGTACGTCCTGGAACCGTGTAGACTAACAACTCTATCATTCAGTTCAAACTTACTTTATCACCGGTGACTGACATGGCATAGACTCGCCCCGAATGGAAGCTTCCAGCCCTCTACGTCCTTGATTCGATTGTTAAGAATGTTGGCACGCCATACACCGTCTACATTGGTCGCAACCTTTACAGAACCTTCATGGACGCCTATCTCGTGATGGATCAAAACACACGCAAGAACATGGAAGGCTTGCTGAGGACGTGGAAGATGCCTGTGCCCGAGTCGATGGACCCTCGCCCTGTGTTTCAAGCCGACGTGACACAGGACATCGAGAATGCACTGGCTAAATTCCGCGCAGCTCAGCAACAGATTCGGCCGCAACACGCGCTTCCCCCTCGTCCTCCGTCACTCAATGTCGCCTGGAGGGGTACATCCACGCCGCCGCAAACTGGACCACGTTATGCCGCTCCCAATGATCCGCGTGCTCGACCGGTAGGTTTTCAATACGATCTTCAGACAATCTTGCTAACAAACCTTCCAGTCACAACCCCCGACACCTCAATATCCACCATCACACGCATCCACACCACCTGTATACCAGCAGCCTCAGCCCATGTCGTCTGTTGATCTTGCCGACTTGAAGGTGGAATTGACACAGCTTATCAGCACAACACAGAACATGTTCGCGCATAACCCAGCTGACGCTGCTCTACGTACAAAGTTGTCAGCACTCCTGTCCCTCAAGCAGATCCTGGACACACAGACGTTGCCTCCTCAACAACTAGAGGCCGTACGTCAACAGGTCCGAGCATTAGCACCTCCACCAGCACCAACACCGACCTTTGCTCCTTCTACGCCAGTGTACCCACCACAACAGGCAATGCCCCAAGGCTATCCACCTAACTTTTCTCCGATGGGTGCACCTCCGAGCAGCGCTCCGCCGAATGTCGCGCAACTTCTGGCAGGCTTCCGACCACCGCCACAATCGACTCCGCAACCCGCACCAACCCCGAATCCACCGGCCTTGAACTTGGCAGAGCTACTCAAACGTGTGTCTTCCCCAGCACAACCGAACTCAGTGCCTGCCTCAGCCCCCTTTCAGATGCCATTCCAAGGCTTTCCGCCCCCAGTCTCGACTCCAGTACCGGCACCTCAGGTCCCCCCGCCCACTCAGTCTGCGACACCGACTGCCAATCTCGCTGCTCTGCTTGCGCAGTTCAGCAAACCTGGTGCTGTGCCGCCCTCAATGCCACCCACGCCTGTGCAGAGCACTCCCGTTCCTCAGTTACCACCACAACCTGTTGCTGCGGCTCCAGCCCTTGGATCCGCCGAGTGGCTTTTGAAAGCTCTGGGTGGTGTACCTGGTGGTATACCTGCAAACCCAACGCCGATTCAATCCCAGCCGGCCACACAACAGCCACTTGCGCCGGGTAGTTTGATGGAACAGATCGAGCTCACCACGGCGTCAATGAAGAAGCCTCGTCTTCACCTCATCTCCCGCCTTTACGAGGCCAAGCCCAACATCTGCGCCACATGTGGCCGTCGCTTTGAGAGCACACCCGAAGGCAAAGAGAAGAAAGCACGCCATATGGACTGGCATTTCAAAGTCAAGGATCCAGATGCCGCCAAGCGAGGTGTACACCGCAGCTGGTACATTCCCGAAAAGGAGTGGATCGAGTACCGCGAAGTCGACGAGACAGCCCCCGACCAGTCCAACGACGGTTCCTCTGGTACAGGTGGTGCTAAACCGAAGAAACAGGCCAAAGATCGCTACGTGAGCGTACCACAAGACGTCACACTACAGCAGGCACCGTGCCCCATCTGCCAGGACAAATTCGAGACGCAGTGGAATGTGGAGGCCAACGACTTTGTATGGATGGATGCCGTAAGCGTGGGTGGTAAGATATACCATGCTACTTGTTTTGAGGAGGTTTATGGCAAGGGTGTTGGTATTGAGGCGCCAGGCACGCCCGACTCAGTACTTGGAAAGAGGAAGGCAGATCTTGGTGCCAACGGTGACGGAAAGAAGGTTAGGGCTTATTAGACATCACTTTTTATTTTTAGTCGTGGACGTTTGGCCATTTTTCAGAAAAGGCCACGATGGTGGGCTTTTGCAGCATAGCGTGGCGTTTTTGACACAGTCATATAATATTTGGGCTTCTACGTAAATTCCATTGACGGTGATCAATGGTAGCAATCACATATTTCAATACATGGATGTCTCCTACTTCGACTCGTATATTCCGTCATGATATATCTATGTACAAGTCCGCGTCCCAACTTTCTACACCCACTCCTTCGGACTCTTGAGGACTTCGATTAACCGTTCCTCCCTGCTACCCTTTGCAGGTTCATGCATATACTGCCACCTTGCCGTAAGAGGCAGACTCATGAGAATACTCTCAATCCGTGCACCAGGTGTGTTCAGACCAAAAGCCGTTCCACGGTCGTGCACAAGGTTGAACTCGACATAGCGTCCTCTGCGGATCTGCTGCCACTGCTTCATCTCGTCTGTGTAGGGCATATCCTTCCGCCTGTTGATGATGGGCAGGTAGGAAGGCAGGAAAGCAGACAAGCAGTCTTGTATGAAGGAGAATAATTGTTCTTGGTCCTTCTCCGTCTCGTCGAGGTCGTCGAAGAAGATGCCGCCTACACCTCGTGTCTCGCCCCGGTGCTTGTTGCTAAAGTACTCGTCGCACCACTTCTTGAATCGCGGGTAGTACGCCTTGTCGTGCTTATCGCACGCTTGCTTGATGGCGCCGTGGAAGTGTATCGCGTCTTCATCGTAAAGGTAAGAGGGTGTGAGATCGCAGCCACCGCCGTACCACCATGCATTTGTGTTTCCCAGTTCGTCGGCGGTCTCGAAGTAACGATAGTTGAGGTGCACGGTCGGTGCGTTGGGGTTGTGGGGGTGAAGGACCATGGATAGGCCTGCGGCGAAGAACTCGAGCGAATCGACGTTGGGGTCGAGAGCTTTGTGGTTGGCGCGCATCTTCTGTATGGCGGCTTTAGGCAAGCGCCCGTATACGACTGAGGTGTTCACGCCTCCCTTCTCGAACACGTTGCCGTCTTGCAGGATACAAGTGATGCCACCACCGCCTTCTGGTCGCTGCCATGTGTCGATCTTGAACTTGGTGCCGTCGACCTTTTCCAGCTCAGCCACGATTTCCTTCTGGTTCTGCTTTATGAACTGCTCCATTCGGAGGCGCATGGGTGATTGCTCCGAGACGCCATTCTCACGCTTGAGCAGGGCATCCTTCTCGGCGATGGAGGGTGCTTCGGTCTTGATCGTGTCGTCCGTCCACTGCGACATGGTTAATAAGGTTCAAAGCAATATTCAGGGTCTCTGTGTACCATGGAGTAGACCAAGGCCCCAATGAAGGGTACAAATAGCAACCGTATCCTGTTCGGCCATTTGCTCGGTGGAGGATTACGCCATTCTTCCAAAGGATCCGGCTTCTCCGGTTTCTTGCCTGAGGGTAGATCTAGGCGGCGTCTTGGTGAAGCGTGTAATTGTCTAGTGCAGATGTGATTTGGGCGTAGTGTTCGTTGCGGCGCATGGCTGTGGGGGAGCTCGAGAGCTCTTGAGATGCGGAGTGAAGATCGGAATGGACGCATGGCGGGCGTGTGGAATCTTGAGAAAACGTTCACCACGTGGAGATCATTGGAGATATGTAATAGTCGCGAATTGATTTATATCGAGTCTGTGGGAGAAAGTCGGTGGTTTGGAAAGTTGTCGTGCATCACACCACGGTGGGCGCATCATCAGTGGAGCTCCTCGGTACTCCTACTAGCGGTATCGGTACCTGCATCATGCAAATACGGCAAACTTGCCATTACAGACAACGAAGGTAAGGACGCGCGAAAGCGCTTACTTTGAGTTGTACTGGTCTCGGCTTTGGACGGTTTGAGTGCTCAAAGACACATGTGCACCTACCTGTAGACGCGCAGCATGCGGTAGCGAGGGTTCGTTGGCGGTACTCGCTAGGTAGGGTGCGCACTGCTACCCAGTAGCCTGACGGGCATCTCACGGTGCACGAGAAGTACTCGTTCGCGCTGTCATAGAAGGCGTCTGAAGAGATAGCTACGTTGCTATGAGCGGCAAGGTGGTCGGACGCGCTACATGCCTGCCAACGCGCGTGTCCAACGCGTCGACTTCGAACGATGGAATGATGCAGCCTACGTCAAGTTCAAGATAGCGTCACGGCGCATGCCTACAGTGGCGGTGCTCAAGTCGATGGATGACTCAACCTTGAATGCGTCCGGGAGACCCAGGTCATGGGAGCTTAGCAAGTGACTTGGTGGGCGAAGCGGTCAGCACAGCCATAGACGAGAACCAGGTCGCTCTTCACGGGTGAAAAGGGCTGCATTCGCATGACGAAAGAGGGCTGATTGCACTGTCTCTGATTCCCACAGAGCACTTGGCTGGCGCGTGAAGCGTTGGTCGTCCGTTGCATAGGGCATGTGCATGGATGGTGACTGACTTGGGCGTTGGTTAGGTAAGGCTGGAAGTGATTCGCCCCGCTCTGCTGCCTGCCCTTAAACTCCCACACCGCCCGCACCCTCAGCGTCCTACATCTCCACCCGCACCACTGACAAAACTCCCGCCTGCTCACTCAACACACTCACATACACTACCCATCACTCTTACACATATCCAAGATGCGTTCCAAGTTCAAGGACGAGCACCCGTTCGAGAAGCGCAAGGCCGAGGCGGAGCGCATTCGCCAGAAGTACAACGACCGCATTCCCGTACGTTTGCCTCCTGCCTATGCATCTCCCTCACTACCACAGCAGCTAACAAGGCGCAGGTCATCTGCGAGAAGGTCGAGAAGTCGGACATCGCGACCATCGACAAGAAGAAGTACCTGGTACCCGCCGACCTGACCGTCGGACAGTTCGTCTACGTGATCCGTAAGCGCATCAAGCTGTCACCTGAGAAGGCCATCTTCATCTTCGTTGATGAGGTTCTGCCGCCTACCGCCGCTCTCATGAGCTCGATATATGAGGAGCACAAGGATGAGGATGGCTTCCTGTACATTACGTACGTAATCCCTTCGCCGCGCAACGCGATGCAGCTGCTAACAACCTTATAGGTACTCCGGCGAGAACACATTCGGCGAGGCCATCTAGGGAGCTCACTCCATCCCGCATCCCCTTATCTATCGGTTATCAAGGCCGCGGCGAACTCACAGGCGTTATCGGATCACGGGTTTCTTCATTATTTCATGGCAACACTACACGGGCTGGGTGATGGATCGGTATTCTTGATCAGCGATTTGGTGCGACGGCAGACTCCTCGGCACTCAGCACTAGGCAAACATCATCTGAGAATGAGGCGGATCAAGCACAAGACAGCGAGAATGCACTCCGCTGGAGATGGAGCTCCACGGACATGACGAGTGGCGGTCGGACAGATTGGCTTTCTCTTTTGCGCTGTACCTGTAGCTTGATCATCACATTTCAGCCCAAATGCACCAGACTTAATCCACGACGACTATCTTCAGATGACCCCATCTGTGACGTCTCGCATGTATCCCGTGAAGCGCTATCTGTACCTGACAAGGCAGCGTGACTTGCGGCTCCTCCGGGCTGAAACCCATGACGCCATCACCCGCCTCACCAGACGCCTAACCGCCTCCATACAACCAGCTGCATGCAGACTGGACGCACAACATGGATAATTAAAGCGACGTGAACTGTTCTAGCACCTTCTGAAACAATGACATGCTTTCCAAGCGGCTTTTGACGCGTGCTTGCCCAAGTAGTCCGCATGGCGCGACCGCGGGCGTGGGGAAGCTCCAGCTGGCGGCAGGCACGGACCACAGCAAATGCAGGTGCAGTGGATCTTTGATAGACGCGATCTGAGAGAAGTTGATCGAGACACCGACGTGAATTTTTGCCCTTGTCGACTTGCACCTGCAGAACCATCGTAGTTGCCTAAACAACCGACTTCTTGTTCGCAATCGGATCACTTCCGGAAGACTATTCTGAGACCCCGCAGTTATGGCGGCCCAGTACATCATATCAAAGTGATCCTTTCCCTCTCGTCGACCTTGGACTTGGAGACTAACAAGTCGCGCAGAAGTCTCGACCCTCTTTTCGCCATATCCATCGGTCTCGCTGCTGCCTTCACACGGATAAATCGCGAGGAGAAAGAGAAGGGCCGGAGCTCACAGGAGAGCATAGATGTGCTGAAGAGGAGATGGAATCTGGCATGGCAGGGGAACGAAGCGGAGAAGAAGGCTTGAGTTCGAAGAGACAAGAAGGAATAGAAAGACGTGGGACGAGAAGGTCATAGGGAAATGCAAACGCAAGACATACGAAGTTGCATCCGGTGCACTTCCACCAAGGACGAATACTACGATACCCTGCTACGCAATGGACAAGAGGAGGAAAGCTGGTTCAATAAGAGCCGTCTCACTATACAGAGGGTAGGCACCTCCTCGCTACGCCATCCATAAGACATGCCCGATAGTCATCATCTTCTGTCTGGTCGTACCCAGCTTGTCAACAGGCGTAAAGATCAAGTGACAGCTCATCCCAGAGGCTGCGGGAGATAGAGGTACGGCGCAGCATGCAAAGAGTAACCATCTTGTTCTCTGTGCAATACCAATCGAACTCGCTCTGACGATGCGAAAGCTGTAAGAAATGTCACAGGCTTCATGGAAATATGCTTAAAGTCCTCTCGAATATGCTTTTTCTGATATACCAGATATCCATATCTATTTGAAGCTTACTTCGGACACGAATATTACCACCGCAGCTAAATCGCCTAGGAAACAAGTTTCCAAGCCGCCTCAGCCGTGAGTCTAAGCAGTGCAACCGAGCTCGCAGCAAAGACCGGAAAGCGTAGCGAGACTTTGTTGGTCGAAATATGAATAATGCTGTATACGAATCTCAAGCCGATATAAGCCCACGCCAAACCAACGGTTCTCTTATCCTTTACATCCAAAAGACTCAGTCCCAACCACCCAGCATAGAACTGAGTAGGTTGTTCGAGTAAGTCGACGTTCTAAAGATGGCCCAGTGTCGCGTGGGACCTGATATGGGTGAGAAAGACTTTGCAGTGGGAGTGGCGGGCAGGCCAAAAGGTATCTTCGATAACCAGCTGTACGATAAGAAGCAGTCCGGACAGTCTCTTCGCTTAGGCACCGGGAGTGGGTGACTCTATTGGCGACACACTTGTGCGGGTACAGCTCTTCTCTCGGGGTTTGTCTACGCGGCCACTGGAAGAGCTGTGCGGGCATCGTTACCTTTTCCTTGACCGCATCAAGTCCAAGCGCACTCAAAGACGGTTCCTGGACGCTTACTTCATTAATCCTCCGAAGCTACGAAAGAACACAACAGCCACGAATGGGACTCGTTGCCGCAAAGACATCCTCCGTAGCCCAACGCTGGTTGGTCGGGGTCCAGGGTAAGTGAAGGCATGTTAACGTGTGCCAGACAGTCGGTGTACTGACATGAAATCCACGCATTCTAGCTCACTTTTGGAAGGCTCCTAGGTTCGTACTGTGGTATCCCGATTCCCCGAGTGGGGGTTCGGGATCCTCTTGATTGGCCCGATGGTCCTTCCTAGCGGATTCTGACGAATAGGAAGTCATGGCGGAAGTGGCGATATCTCCAAACCTCAGGAAAGTATCACCGCGCCGCGGTAAGGAATTCCTGCCACATGGGAACGGCTGGTTGTACATGACGCTACGAGTCATGGTAAATTCTAGGATCGCGAGCACCTGACCTTACGACGTTACACCGCGGCACCGGGAACATGACGATCATCATTCCTAAGGCTTCACCGACACTCAGATACGAAAACGTCAAAGAAGTCTTACATCCGCCGGTTAAGATATCCTTCTAGGTGCCGAACTCTGTCCGTGTGGAACTATATATGCTTGTAACAGTACGACTGGCAGCCAACTCCAACTGAGACGAACACTGCGACTACTTACCTCAAGATGGATACCTTAGCCAATAACACGCATCCAAAATGGTGGAAAGATCCGGGCATGAAGAAACTCAACTTCTTGCTCCTTTCAAGCTACATAGGCGCCATAACGAATGGCTACATCAGCTCCCTCATCTCCAATCTCATTGCCAACCCCAGATACTTCCAAGACATACAAGGGCTTTCCCATCCGAAGCTACTCGGACTAGTCACCGCTGCCCAGTCCATGGGATGTATCGCCGCGTTCTTCCCAGCACCATGGCTATCAGACAAGTACGGCCGCCGTGTAGGCATCATCTTTGGCAACATTGGAATGATAGCCGGCTTTACGGGGCAGATATTCTGCACAAGATTCGATCAGTTTCTTGGGATGCGCATACTCGTCGGGTTTTCGAGCATTTCCAACACGATTTCATCCTCCGCCCTACTCGTCGAGCTTGCACATCCACGCCAGAGGGCCGTTGCAGGTGCGCTCTTCAACACATGCTACTTCATCGGCTCCATCACCGCGGCTTGGGCCTCTTACGGAGCTTTGAGAATACCGGGTTCGTGGTCATGGAAGCTACCGGTAGCCATTCAGCTGTTTTGGTCGCTGGCGCAGCTGAGCTTGATCATGTTCTGCCCCGAGTCGCCTAGGTGGCTTGTACGACACGGACAACAAGAGAAGGCCAAGTCTATCATGATACGATACCATGCCAATGGACTCGCTGGTGATGAGCTAGTATCTTCCGAATTCGCGCGCATGTGCGCATCGACGGCGGCTGAGGCTCAGAATAACACTACTGGCTGGCTGGCCTTGCTTGCTACACCAGGCAACCGCAAACGCCTCGTCCTATCTGTGGTCATCGCCGTAGCTACGCAATGGGTCGGAAACGGAATCATCAGCTTCTACTTGGCACCGGTCCTGCGAACGGTCGGAATCACAAACTCCCTCCACCAACAAGGCATCAACGGCGGGCTTCAAGTCTACGTCTGGCTCTTGGCCTGTGCAGCCGCACTGTTATGCGAAAAGGCCGGTCGACGCCGTCTCTTCTTAACTTCCACGAGCCTAATGTTGGTCTTCATGGTCCTGATAACCATCTGCTCAGCCCTCTACTCAACCACCGGCTCCGCATCTGCAGGCTACGCCGTCATTGTATTCCTCTTCCTCTTCTTCGGTGGCTACGTCATTGGCCTGACACCCATACCCATCCTCTACGTCAACGAGATCTGGCCGAGTCATCTCCGCACGAAAGGCACAAGCGTGTTTTGGGTATCGCAAGCCGTGTCTATCACTTTTAACCAATTCGTGAACCCCGTGGCGATTGACAAGATTGCTTGGAAATACTACTTGGTCTATATTGGTGTCTTGGTCGCTGTTATCAACTTCATCTTCTTCTATGTGCCGGAGACTAAGGGCCTGTCGCTGGAGCAGATTAGTAGTATCTTCGATCCTGTACAGGATGTTACTGTCGAGCTGTCGGTTTCGGATGTTAGGAGGGAAAATGAGGCGTAGAGGATACATGGTGCGAATTTGGGTCTTTCCGGTCCATTTCAGCGTAACGAGGCAACGACAAGAGAGGTGGATGAACGTAGTTAAATCAATAAAAATATAGTTACAGACTACGCGAGCTTATCCAAAAGCCTAGGAGTGGGTTTTCGACAAACCATCGAGCTGACTATGGGCAGTCCAAATGCGCTGGTCCAGAGGTCCGGGGATCTTTGTCAGTTTGTAAGCCTGACGGAGGGTATCCCAAGAGCTTTGATCAGTAGATTCGGAAGTCTTTGACCGTTTCTTCGGTTTCTGCTCCTGACTTTGCAAATCAGATGCCTCCTTCTTGCCCTTACTTTCATCTGTCTCCTTGGTATTTTTCTCCTCGACCTTCTCATCTTCTATCTCATCACTCTTTCTCTTCTCACCCTGATTCCCTTCCTTCTTCCCCTTCCTCCATACGACCCCGAAAACGCCAGTTCTCTCAGGTGGCTCATACAGCTCAGCAACTGGCCCTGGTTTGTTGGGTAATCTTTCGTATATCAGAGTCGAGGCCTCAAAATCGGTGTCACCTTGGGTCTCCGGATTATGAGTGAGCGGGTGTATGTCGTTTCCTGGAAAAGGGAAGAGAGGGTGATCGTCATTGATAAAGTAGTGTTTTATTGGTAGTGGACTGTCCTTCTTCTGTCTGCCTTTTCGAGGACAGGTTGTCACACATGCAGTGTAATGACCCGCTCGTGTGAGGTTACCGGAGTGAACGATCTTGCCAATGAGCTTGTATCGGAGCTGTGAAGACGGAGGACTAACGTGCGCAGTGAGGTCGAGCTCGTTGGGAATGATGATGGGATGTGTATTCTTGATCGGCAGACTTTGGTCATCCTTGTCGAATACTTGGTCTCCATTCTTGTCGAAAGTGTTTAGTTCCAGATTAATCCGAAGATACTCGGGTGCAGTTTCGATCGTTTTGAACTTCTTGACATCTCCCGTATGATTGCAGGCTCCGCATGTTACCGGCATATCTTCGATGTCCAGCCATGTCGAGTTTACCAGGGCAGTTTGCAGATCAGGATGATTATGGCCATTCTTTGCAATCATGACGTTTGAGAAGCCAAGGTCTTTGGTGATGTCGTAGTTGTCGATGGAGTGGAGGTGGGTACAACTGCCATGTGTACACCGCATTTCTTCATGCCGGGTCAGAGTGAAGAGGTAGTTGAACTCGTCCAGTCGTTGGTGATTACTGTTGAGACAGTCAGTGATCTGCACACGGGTGGATAGAAGAGAGTACTTACCCAGGATCGATACTGTCTTTACACGCATTTAGCAACCTCATCAAGAACTCATCAGAATCTTGCTGGCCAGCAGCGTTTCTCATGCGCCCAATGCGGTCATTGCGGGACTCGTTGTTAAGCCTTCGATTCATGAAAGCAATCTTTGATTCTCCCTGCGCTTTAGTAAGTCCAGAGGAGCTGGGGGGCTCAGTGAACCAGCGTCTAGCCATGGCGTTCAACGCTTTGACACTAGGACGTGTGTGGGGGAACTTGATGAGATTCGCATTATCCCGCGCGTCCGACCAGTAGTCCAGGACAAAAGCCTTTACTAGGCAAGCCACACATTGCTTAATGTCTTCTCCCATCTTAACGAGCACCTGATCCTTCGCTTGGCTCACTGGGAGATGGCGATTCGGATCGTTTGCGCGACAAGGCCAATCCGCGCCCAGCGCTGCGTCGTTATGCTGCTTTATCCAGTTGCAGAACTTTGGAAGATGGACGAGGTTCTGCAAAGCGCTATTCATGTAGCAAGAGTTTCCCGAATTGCCAATGCCGCGGGGCTGCTTGTTGGGACGGCCTTCTGGCCATGTTTTGCTGATTGCATTCGTAACCGCAGGTCTGCGAGGGTTTCTTCCACGTGGTAAGCGAGACCGATGGCTTCGGGGAGGAGGTGCGGGAGGAAGATGTATAGGGGCAGTGGCTGCTTGGCGCCGCGTAACCGGAGGCATGTTGATCTGATGAAGTCGGTAACGGTAGACGATGTAGTAAATTGATGCGAGATGGCAATAGTCTCATGAAGATGTTGTTTGGATGTGACGACTTCCCGCGCGTCGATAGTTCTTCCATCTCTTTTGAACTATGTTTGCACGGGCGACAATGAGTAGCCTTTCTCTTTGTTCTGTTGTCGAGCTGGTCATTGTGAACCTTGCCACCAAACGGGCTTATTGATCTTTGGACAGGATACCTCAAAGAAAGTGAAGGTGAAAGGCAATATGTGATGTGTGAATGTGTGAATGTGACTGGATTGGTTTCCTAGAGTTGTTAATCTTGGCTCATTCAACGTCGACGGCTAAATCGGAGATGACCTACATGTATTAAGCGCATTGCAGTAGATAGCGATGCAGCAGAGTGACTACATTGTTATCAATAGATCATCTAAGTTGATGTACCTTTAGACTTGCTTACCCTTACCTTTTCCCTTATATTGTTCCTCTTCGTCATCCTCCTCCATTCTCCTCTTCATTTCTTCCACCGCTGCTCTTTCCCTCTCCTCCCTCTTGGCAGTGCATTCATCCAGCAGTTCCTTCATCTTCTTCGCTCTCTCTGCATCACTGAACTCCTTCATCCACTTCTCGTTCATCTCTGTTGCCAGCTTAATATCCTCAAGTTCAAACTCGATCAAGAGAGTGCTTGCGGTGGGACTAGGTGTACTATCTTTGCTCACGGTAACGAGGTCGTCATCTTCAAGCCCAGTATTCCACAAACGACGACGGGGTTTCGCGCCAAGGTGGCCAGCCTCTTCTGAGATACAGTCTCGCTCACAGCATTGTAGTCGTAACAGTAAGTCTTTTATTCGTCTTCGTCCCATATTGAGCATCATGGTGAGCCTTGTCGTTCTGTAGTGCGAACCCCCAGATCGAAGCTCGAAGTTCGGCAGGTAGCTTGGGGAATAGATGGAAGGTAGCCGCCATGATGGGCTGTTCATAGGGTTGCGAAGAAGATAATGCGCCCTTCGGTCGGATTGGAGCCTGGTCTGGTGCGCGCCGGTCATCGAAGTTGCACTTTGGTTAGTTTTGTGAAGACGCGTGAATGGGATCTACTGTCATCGGATTGAATAGGGGCAGACCGTTCGCGCGAGACAGCGCGCGTCGACTGCTGCAAATCCGCCAGGATCTTCTAGTAACGCCATGGCTCGAGAGATATGTCGATGTATTTGCGATGCACGACGCGCAAGCGAAGTAGACGCGTCGTGACCCGGTGGGTGCTTGCCCACACACGTCATTACCCAGCCATCTTTGTATCCAACCAAATCGGGTTAGCTCTTAAATCAACCCACCATCAACGTGGGCAGCCACTTCCAGTACATCAACATGCTCACTCTTACCAGTATATTCATGTGTGCAAATCCAATCGTGCCATTTATGTACCGTCAAGTTGTGACGCAGATCACCAAGGGCCACCCATGCTCTGTGGGTATCCACCGCCCCTTCCCCCATGTTCAAATCCACGGTGCGACGGCAACACCGCACTTTGTCCGCCATGGAAGTGACCACCACCATAGTCTTGACCTTGAATATGACCTTGACCCTGACCACCAGTGTACATACCTTGCGCTGGCATCTGGCCAGGCATCTGCTGCGCATACGCAGCGCCCTGAACAGGACTCGGCATAGGCCCCTGTGGCATTGGCATTCCTCTTCTAAAGCCTTGCTGCGGCATCTGCATCTGCTGCTGCTCAGCCCTATTATATGCCAGGTGCGACCCCCTAGTCTGTTGCGTATTCTGTCCAAACCCATACGTGCGATTCGGTTCCGGCATCGCAGCCACCGCAGACACATTAGTTGTAGCCGTCTTCCCCACATCTTTCGGTGGATTCAGCGCAAACCCCCAGGTACCCTCCCTCAACTTCCCCTTGACGAATCCAACTTTCTTCGCCACACCCTTGGGCATCTTGCTCTCGTCGCATCCTCCAATCGCCCATTCACACGCCTTGACAACCGCATTCCACATCCCTTTCTCCGAGTCTCCGAGCACAGGGTTACCTTTCTCCTGTCTTACGCGCTCTAGCACGGCCATCATGAGGCCCTGGACGCGGTTTGTGACTTTTTCGAGATCCTGGGATGACTGTGGGATGAGGATGTGGAAGGTCGCTGGGCTGGTGGGTCGGATTTGCGACTTAGTGAAGGCGATATTGACGGGCGCTGCGGTGTAGCAGTCTTGTGTGGAAGCAGAGGCGGGACCGACTGCTAGTCTGGCGAATGCAGGGACGCCTGCGCCGTGGGCTAGAAGGGCGAATGGGCTATCGGCTAGCTGAACAGCGTGGTGTATGGCTTCGTCTTTGCCGGCTGCGCGACACTTGCTCTTCTCGTAGTTTTCTTTGCTCACGCACATTCTTGCCCAGTGTTTCGCTTTACCCGCATCGAGGTGCTTTTGCACCATCTTGACTGCGTCACTGCCGTACCTGCCTTCACTCGCAGCGCGGAGCCGGAATGCAAAGGTAACGAGCTCATCTTGCGCTTTGTGGAGGTGAGGCCGCGACAGCGAGGTAGGAAGGAACGTGTTGATGTAGTAAGCGTAGTAGTACACATACGTACCGAGATACTCGAAGTTAAGCATCTGACTAGGTGCATCGAGGAAGACAACGGGTATGTCCAGTTTCTTCGCGAACTGTTCCAGGCGCTCGAGATCTGGCAGTTTGTTCGCTCGTCCAAATATCGAAGGTGCTATTCCGTCTGCAAGGTTGAGGGATCCCGTGATGGTGATTGCAGATAAAGCGGATCGTAGAGGAGATGTTGTCATGTTGATCCATTGTAGCAGGAAGTGCAGTACAGCGCCGTGATGCCAAACTATCTTCTTCAATCCGCCCATCTTCAGTACCTGCTCGACAGCCGTGTTGACTCTCTTCACTGTCTTCTCGAGCGCCTCCTGCTGTCCAGATAGAACGCCGTTATCCCATCCCCTCACTATGACAATCTTGCTGAACACCGCCACGGTGCCTTCGAGATGCTTCTTGCCATCAGCTCCAGTCAGATACTCAACCAACTGGCAGATGCGACCGAAGTTGTTCCTACTTCGACTCTCTTCAGCAATGATTAGCATACTGCCATCACTTTCGTTCGCGCCCTTGTTCTTGCGCACGCCGAGGTCGCACAGCTTGGCGATGACCGAAGTGAGCTGGAGTAGGCTGTCGATATCGGAATCAGTCTCCCAGATGTGAAGGACACCTGGGGCGCAGACCTTTTCGAGAGTGCTCTTGGACGCGGCAGCGAAGGACGACTTGTACTGATCTGGCATCGACTGCACCGACTTCTTGAACGCTTCGAGATCGCTGGACCACGGGCCATTGAAGGACGTCATCTTCTCGGAATAGCGATGCTTGCGCCGATGGCGAGAGTGCGACCGAGATCTGTGACGATGGGAAGAGGTGGCGGGACTGTTGGGAGGCTGTACAGAACGCCCAGTGTTGCGCAGCGGCTGGTTTGGAGAGTGGCGATCGATGAAGCGGTTGAGGTAATTCATTGAAGGCCTGCTGTTGTTATACTCATCTTTATGTACATGGCGAAAGGTGACAGTTGGTGGTTTGTGCATGTTGCCCGAACGCGGCGTTGGCTGTTCTGGATGTGAAGGAGTATGTGAAGACGGACCTGCAAAGTAGACACGTGAGCGCAAAGATGGACGCTTCCAGCAATTGAATACAGTGGAAAACGAGGATGGCAGCGAAAGTAGTGAAGTGACCGTTACGTGGCCAACGGCGAAGTGACAGCAACTATAATGTTTGGCCAAGGTGTGGAGGAGGAGTGATGTGCAAAATAGATGATCGCAAGCACCAGGGGCGGCAACAATTCGTGTCGCATTCTACAGAAATATCAAAGTAGAAGTATACATTGTATTGTATACTACCTACTTACAAATATGTAATACTGTGTATGCAGGAACCTCAGAAATGCGACACGGCTTGTTGCCGCCCTAGTGCAAGTGTGCATGACCTTACCACCAGAACCTCATTGAATCTAGAAAATCATAATGTAACCGCACAGATATCCAACTGTACCGTAACGCCGTCTCAAAAGATGAAGAGAAAGGATGCGTGCGAGCTTTACTTGCCAACACCACCACCGTGCTCCAAGATAGTCTGCTTGTCAAGCTTCTCCACCTTTCTGCTCAGCAGTGCACGTAGCTCAGGACTGATGACCCTCGCCTCGTCTTGCTCTTCTTCACCGACCTGCTTGCCCTTGTCTGTGCCGGAGGTTGACGCTTGGTCTTTCGCTGGTGATGCACTTGACGCCGTACTTGGCCCGGGGCCGGCGACGATTGCAGCAGCCAACTTGCGTTGTTGGGCTTGCGGAGCGGAGGGAAAGTTGCCTTTCTTGTCGATTGTCTCTACCGTTCGCTGAAATCTCTTGAAGAGCGATTCCGCGCGAACGAGTGTTGACTCGAGATCCATAGTACCGGAAAGCTCGTTGACTGCAGTTGCGTTAGTACCATTCACTGTCAATCTGGGCTGATTTGGTTGCATAGCTTACCATACTTGAGCACCTCGTCAAAGTGCTTCAGGTGCGCCATAATCACATCTCGGTGCTTTTCCAGGATAGCTAATGCGATGAAGATGTGGAAGTTGCTGCTCTGGTAGTCGGTCCAGAGCGACTCCCACAACCGCAGTACATCCGGCCACTCGAATTCGCGCTTGTACCAGACAAGCAGCATCCGGAAGAAAAAGAAGAAGTTTGTCGACTCAGCGGACTGAAGGTGAAGATACAGCTTGGGGTCCATAAGCTGTACGAGGTGGTCAAGCGTCGTGAGCTGCTTGCGCATGCCGGACTGGTCGCGTAGGAAGTTGCGCTCCTGTTTGCATGTCAGCCCTATAAATGATTATAATAGCCATGGAAAGTGTACGTACCATGCGCTCCATGAATCCAACAAAGCCCCAGAATGCGACGGCATCATCCTGCATGACTGCATAGATGGGCGCAAGCAAATCGCTCATGCCCTGAACGTAGCCGAGATCCTTGTTGTATTCGTTGTACGTAAGGAGCATGTCTTTCATCTGCTCCAAGTGAACGTTGGTGCCAGTTTCCGCAAAAGGCGAGTCAGGGTCAGGGTGGGGAATGTCCTCGCCGGCGAAGATGGGGATATTGCGATCTGTGCGATGTACGTCTTTCTCTACACAACGGACCCCATAGAATGGGACAAGTCAGCCAGTTTTCAAGCAAGGGCATGACGCGCAAGGATACATACCTATTCTGTTCTTTTGTTCTCTCCACCATTCCTCTTGCTCTTCATTCTGGTTCCCTTCAACCATTCGCTCCCACCAAGCGCCCTTGAGTCGAATGTACTCGTCTCGCCTGCTGTTAATGTTCGCGCGACGCTCTTCGTCTGAGCTGTCCCAGTCGTACACCCCGAGAAGGAAGAGCCATGCTTCCTTCCGTACACCATCGTCAGGATCAAGACCTCCATGGAAGACGCGGTCTTTGACCTCGTCCGGTGTCAGTTGTAGGCGGCCCTTGGAGTCGAAGAATCCTTTCCATTCTTCCAACGTGACAGGTTTTCTTCGGTCGGCCATGGTCATCTTATCCATGTCAAGGATCTCGAAGTCGCCGACATCGCTCTCCTCCATAGCCAGAACGTCCTTTGCTGTCCATATCCGCTGGTTCCGTTCTCGCTCGCTTTGTTCTGCAATGCCCATAGCCCATCTTGCCAGGTAAAGCCTTGCGCTGTCGAACTCTTCTTGTAGTGTCTGGACCTCTGGGTTCTGAATCAGGCGTCTAACCTGAGGCGGAATCTTGGGGTTGTCTGCGACGGCTTGAGCAGTCCTTCGCGTGAAGGTGGTGACCTGGCTAAGCTTCTCGAGGAAATTCCATCTTGCTTCCTTGAGCGCCTTTGTGACCGGATCCATCCCACCGTCCCTTTTACCAGACTGCGAAGATGACGCGTCTGCTTTGCCCTCGGTGCTCTTCCTTGGTGCAACGTCTTTGCCGAAGGATCGCTTGTCGTCTTCCGAGGGGTCGATAAGGTATATGCTTGGATCAGCACCGGACCGTTCGACTGTGACGTATCTCTTGAGCCATCTCAGCACCTCGTCGCCGCCCCAGAACATGCCCCCTCCGTCGCCAAACGGATCGAAGCTTTCCTTGGCCAGCTTCTTTCGCTGCATTATGGTAGACTGGCACTCGCTATCGTGGAAGAAGAGCGCAGGGAAACTGTCTCCAGCCCGAGTGTTGATGACGACGCTGCCAAACCACCATCCGATGCTTGGTGGCCGTATGAGGACGGAGTATATCTCGCTGACAGGCAGAGCAAATGCATACCCCGGAGTTCCGGCATGTGTAGATGGTGTGGGAGGTGGAGGTACGAGGTATGACTGTCTGGGAGGTGATGACGAGTCGGACAGATCGACCTTGACGTATGTGTCGTATGCATCGCCGAGGTTTGACTCTGGTATCCAGGCAAGGAGTAGCGATGACGCGTTCACGCTGCGAGCGGAGGAGGAGGAGGTTGGACGCGCATCGTTAACGGTTCGGTTAGACTTCTGCTGGACGAGAGCGACGAAGCCTGGGATGTTGTCTTTGGAGGAAGGCGAGGGATGCACGTAGACCTGCACATGTTAGCCTGCTTCCATCATGCTGCGTTGGATAGGCTTTACGTACCTTGCTCTTGGTGTATAGTAACTTCACACCCTTTCCGCTACTAGTATGGCGGATCGTGTTGTATTCGCCTTCTTCATCGTCGCTGAGGTCGTAGAAGCTGGCCGAGGGCGATGGGGGCGCTGGGGCCGACGAAGTCATGCGGGGCTAGGCGGCGTCCCAAAGACGCGGAATGGAGGTTGGTGATGGGTTCCGAGTAAGATGGCCAGATAGCATGCGCAGGAGATATTTGGAGTAGTATGGTGATAAAGCAAGAAAGAGGCGCGTATCCGTTTGGCGCTATGCAGTTGCAGGTGATGCTTGCGCGGGCAGTGACCTGGAGTGACCTACACCCGCCACAGCGTCACTGGTGGCTGTGCAAGCCTAGGGCGGGGTTCGCGTCGCCCCAGCCCCATCGCATCGAGTAATGTGCTCTAGCCGCGACACGCTGCGCAAGATAGCCATAAACGAAATTCTGCCTTTGAAGTGATTATGAGCTGAATGTATTGATTAGGTATTCGTCTATGTGGTCAGGTCTACAAACCCCATGCTTGCCCACCCATTGACGACCAAGATCCAACTCCGTTACGCCGTGCTGCACACAACAAGAACAAGCTCAACGCATGCGCGGTCCGCTTGGCAAGCCCATACGCCCACCTTGCGGTCCGCGTTGTGGTGGAGGTGCGCCGCCGCCATATCCCCCTCCCTGGGGCGCATACGGATCATCGTTCCCGCTCCATGGGGAGTTCGATGACATGCCAAATGAGCCCTGTGGTCTCCCGCCGCCGCTACCAGTACTTCCATAGCTGTGACTCCGATCTTCAGGGTAGGGCGCACGTCCAGCTTGCGGAGACGATTGCGAGTTGCCAGATTCTGAAGAGAGTCCTCGCGGTGCTGGGCTCTGTGACCGTCCCCATAACCTGGCCTTGAGCCTTTCCTGTGCTGTTGTGCCCGACCCTGTACCCGCGCTCGGTGGTGGTGAAGCTTCTGCTTGTGGGCGTCCTCCCAATGAGCTCTGATAGCTCCCTGCTCGTTGGCTGGGCAGTGGTCTGCCCTGTATTTGAGGGTCTGGTGTCAATGAGTTGCCCATGGGCCGGCCTTGCATGGGACGTGCTCCACCGCCCCGTGCTCCTGGCCCTCGGCGAAGTGACTGTGGTTCTTGCGGTGGTTGTTGTGGCGCGGGATTATCCCACAGGTCGTTCAAGCCTCCTCCCCGGCCTGCTGTTTGTGCTTGTGCCTGTTGTCGCGAAGACACGAATTGGGCGGGCGCAGGCTGGGGCGCCTTTGGGTCGGGAGGAAGCCATTGCGGGAACGGCCGTCCTTTCTCCGTGTAGTATGCGCGAAGGACTCTGGAAAGATGCGAGTCGTCTTCTGTGTCGCCGTCTGCTTCGTCCGAGAGGATCTGTCGTCGCAGATTGTTGTAGCGCGAAGTCGTGTTCGTAAGGAGGTTGTTTAGATAGGACGACATGATTGTGTGCGCGATCGCCGTTCGAGGGTGTGGGCGGCCGATGCGCGTGGTGGACAGTTTATGCCGTCGTGTCGGTGTTGGAGATTAGTGGTGGTGCGAGGCAGTTGGGTCGCGCCCGGGTCGCTGTTTCCAATTTACTGGGCGTTTGGGAACAAGACCCTGGTTACCAACACCACACTCCAACGTTTCTTCACCCCAAACCATGGCTGCTTTTCTGCTCTTCGTGATGCAACCAGTTCATGCCATACGCGCGACCTTTCTTGAGCCAATAGAATCGTCCGCAATACACATCTTTTCGCACCTGGTTTCAAAGATGGAAATCAGGCGCGTCGCCCGACCGATTCATGTAAAGCAGCATGTCCAGGCATGTCCTGAATCTTGAAACACCGCGAGTCTATGCTGCCATTCGTGGTGGGACACTGATCGGAAAACATGTCCTGAAGCTCTTCGCGGCTTATGCGCTACTCTACCAGCCATACCCTGACATTTCTATAGCCTGCTTACTCCAGTAATTTAAGACAACACTGGCACGAATGGCGGAGCAGCATTCGAGAACGACCATGGCAGATATCCACTACATGCACAAGCATGCATGTTGCCACAAACTAGCGCTTTGAGGTGGCAGCCTGAAGGGCTGAAGGGCGTACTTCAACTTTGAGATTATATGCGACCACAAAATACCACGTTCTGACAGGTAACGCTTCCTAACCATGGAGTTGCCATCGAAGAAGATGTCTTGGGAAGAACGAAGAGAAAGGAAAAACCGCGAGATTGCCGAGGCCATCGCCAACGTTCAAGATGAAGCCACCCAGATCGACATCATCATGAAGAAGCGAGGTTGCTTTGGACCGAGCGAAGACAATGAATTCTACGCAGTCATACAAGACTACTTAAACAACAATACCGATGCAAAAGACACTACGAAGAAACTGCTCGACCCTATCAACAAAGCCATCCTCCATAACAGAAAGCACCTTCCCTTTCTTAGTATCTGGTACTCCATAATCCACTCCGCCAAACGCCTCCCCTTCCGCGACACCACCGGTCTTAACAAAATCGTCACCCTAATGAAGGCCATAAAAGCGAGCTTCCCACCCCCAACAGCCAAAGATTCAGACATGTACACCTGCCTCCGCCGCTTCGGCATGGCCGCTCGCGAGAGTATAGACGACGGCCCTGGAGGCCAGTGTGGCTACATGACACAAGAAGTGCACGCATACGCCAACATGCTCTACTTTTACGCTCTCATCACGCGCGAAAACGTGCGTAATTTCTGGATATATTGCATCTGGGAAATGCGCAATGCACTCGAGACACCACACGAAGACGATGCGAATGGCACAGCAATACAAAAATACAATTCTTTCATCCCCTCCGCTGCGGTCTGGGTCTTTGCTATGGGCAAACAAGTCCACGAAAGAGAACAAGACCTTACTCCAAAGAAGGCGACTGAGGGGGATCCAGGTAGAGGTGGACCGTTGTGGAAAGGTAGAGCGGAGTTTAGTAAGCAAAGGTGGGCGCTTTGGAAGAAGAGGTTTAGAGAACTTGCCGAGATTGAGGGATTGACTGAGGAGGTTCTAGGGATTGCGAGAGAGGCTGCCGAGAAGATGGATGGGATTGATGGTGGGGCGAAGTAGAGTGGTGCGGAGGTTGGAGAATGGCCCACATCTGTATATATGACTTTCTGCATAAAGTGAAGTTGAGATACATCATCAGGCAACCTACTACAATAAACACTTATACGCCTTTCAACACTTTCAGTCGGTCCTTCGCTACATTAGTAGTATGACAAGCATATCGGCTAGCGGGCGGACGCTCCCGTAGACTACGTTATGGCAGGCATCGGAGTTGTGTCCGCCAGAGTGGGACATGGCTAGCGACCGTTGGCGGGTCGTCTAAAGCCCGTCACACTTCAAGTAACGCGAAGGAAGAGCAGAGATGAAGTACACCTGTCTTATCAAAGTAGAATTTTATCTATCGCCAGGAAAGTGCTTGCCAGCAATGGACCTCTGCACGCGCTTTTCGCCTTCCACTTCGCTAGAGTGTCCCTAGTACTCCTCCATCTCGTCCTCACCGTGTGATGAACCTGCATCCTCGGCCGGAATAGCCTCTGGTTCGGCTGCATAAACCACCTCTCTGACAGCGACATCTCGAAACGCTACATCAACCATATCAAGGCCGGTAGTGCGCAGATCCATTTCCAAAGCTTGGCCACCCGATGACAGCAACTCCATCTTCGGTTCAATATCCTGAGTTCCCTGCTCACTCTCTTCTTCGTCGTCAAGGTAGACCCAATCGTTTCCGCGATCAAAGGCGTAGAACTCTAGACGCGGACCGTACAGCAACATGCCGTGACCGTTCTGGATGTTGCCGCCTCGGCACAGGGCATCAGTGAGAACGTCGCTGCGGTGCATGGTGTTGCTCGTGGAGAGGCGTGGGACTTCCTCGAAGTTGTCGATCATGATGGCGAGGTAAGTATACGGATGCTGCTCGTGCGTGACCGCACCAGTCTCAGTATTCGTTGCTATCGTCTTGCGCATGACCACGAAAGCGGCGATGTCCTCAGGCGCGATATGATCCCACTGCAGGTTGAAGAGTTGCGTAATACCTTGGGCGTACTCTGCTACCTTGGCGTCTTGCTCTTCTCTCTCCGCCCTCTCGAGCTCCTTCTTGGTTGGGACTTTGCGGCGAAAAGCCCTGCCTTTGTTCTTGTGGAACTCTTTCCAGATATCTGACTTATCGTCGGCAGCTAAGATGAAGTTCATCCCGTACTTTGCTACGGGTCCGGGGGGAGTGGGTACCACCGTGTAATTATGTGACGGGGAATAATAGTGCGTGAGGAGAACAAAGGCGAGCGCTTTGGCGTACTGCATGCGAGTTGCGTTTGTCGCAGTTGACACTGGTCTATAGCGGTCCAGGTGGGCGACATATAAGGCTTGAATACCGGGTATGTTGGTGATAGAAGTCTGGGTAAAGTCCGGGATCTCGAAATCAACCAGAGTCTTCCAGAAGTCTGGGGGGAATTCTGGCTCTTCCTCTTCCATATCTGCAGTATACTGGTGCGGTTCTTCAACTGAAACATGAAACTGGGCATCGTTCGACTCGATAGGATGTGGTGTGCTCTCCGGCGTCATAGGTCTATGGTACCCTTCGTAGTGAGCACCATGCGGCATTACATCAGACATGAACGTGTCGTAGCCATTTGTGCCCTGGTTATGAAAGCCGTAATGCGGAGCTGAGGTCTCGTCTATGTGTTGTGGTGTGGATGGTCCGAACCTCTCCTGGAGGAAAGGATAGACGGGAGCGTACTGTTGGCCGACACCAGAAGCGCTGTCGAAGTTCATATGCTCTTGGTTGTAGTTGTAGTTCTGGTCCATGTTGGCAGTTGAGTGGGTCGTAGAGTGTAAGTTGGTGGAAACAGGCAGACCAAAACGAAGCAGTTATAGTCGACAAATAGAGGTATTTGCTAGCGTAGAATCGGCATAGGTAAAGGTAGCATCATGGCACAGGTGAAGGGCGCCTATGACCAAGCAAGTATTACTTGCAACCGTAGGAGTCATGCGTGATGCCAGTCTCGTTCGTAATGCCGATGAGATGACAGATTTGTAGTGATGCGCCTCATATCGACTCGTCAGCAACAGGTTGACTCTTGGTCACAGTGTCTTCCACCACACCATCCATAGCCTCTGCTGCCCCGTCTGTGGCTCCATCAGCTGCCTTCTTCGCTTGCTCCTTCGCCTTCTTCTTGAGCTTCTTCTCTCGATTTCTCCGAGTGTTCTTCTCACGCTTGGCTTCTTCCTTCTCTTGCGCAAGACGTGCTGCCTCACTCTGCTTCTCTTTTACTGCCTGGAGCTTCTTCCGTATGGCTATGCGTGACTTCTTGCCCTTCCTTGTGCGCTTGTGTGCCTTATCCTCGATAGTGACGAGCATAGGAGGGTGACCGACCAGGACCTCTTTGCTCATGCCGGCTGGCGATATGGTGCGCACCTTCCATGGCAGGGCGCAACCAGGCCACGGCTGCCGCGACAGCTCCAGGACGCTCCTTCCCTCGATGGCGGCCGCTCTGAAGGCGTCTTCCTCCTCGCTTGTGGGTTCGTCGGCGAAATAGTAGCTCCGTGGCTTCTTCAAAATCAGTCCTGGCTCTCCGCTATCGGCGCCTGGCGATGAAATTCTAATCTTCAGCGATTGTGGAGCAGCGTTTGCGGGCGCAGCGAAGAGCCGCAGCTCCGTCTCGTCTTCGTCGCTATGCGCGATATCGTGGACATCATCTTCGGTCGTGGTATAGGTAAACTCGGTGTTTATCTTGGATCGCAGCAGCTCTTCGAGATCGGGGTCTGGCGAGGATTGTCTACATGATGCGGGCGACTCCAGCTCAGCGCGGCGAACCCTTGGCAAGGTCAGTATGCAGATAACAGGCGCACTAGCGAGTCGACCCACCGCTTCGCATCCGGCACTTCAAACATGGCGTTGTCGTATGGACGTCGCAGAAGTTGCTGTTCTGAAAGTTTCGTGCCTGGACATCGGTTGCGTAGCGGGAGATCGGCATTTGGCTAGACAGGTGACTAGCGGAACTGCACGATCGCTTCGTCACCTGGCAATAACCACGGCCGCATCGCGATCGGATTCTTCGATTCCCCCCATGCCAAAAGAAATGCAATTGCCTTGGAATGACCCGCGGAGCAGGATATCCGCCCCCTAGCACCGATGTAGTTACTATGCCACTCAAAATGGACGACAGCGGCAGCCACTCGCCTGCAAGAGGGATGGACGAGCACCCTCGCTGCCAGTCGCAAACCCCCCACCGTTGTGCCTCTCCCCTGGGACTGATACTCTGCTGTACTGTGCTGTGCTGTGCTGCGCTTCAAGAAGGACATGCTGAGTCCCCTACGAACACACTAGAACCATGGGCTACTCGTGGCCAGAAGCAGCCCGCGAGCGCGATCTCCACAGGTTTGGATTGTGCGATAGAAGCGCGTCGGCTGCAGCTAAGGATGCTTACAGGTACTACCGCCCATGGCTCGATGCACAGAGCCTGGTTGACGCTGCCGACGGTTCTGGTAAAGGCCTGACCTACTCTGGCTTCCAACCCCAAACGTCAAGGGATCGCTCCCTGACTGCCTTTGCGCAGCTCGCCACGCTGCGACTTGACACCCGGCGGGCAATGGTATCGCTGATCGACTCGCACCACCAGTACATTCTTGCCGAGGCCACGCGCACCCTCTCGCTGTTCAAGCCCGTCGCCGAAGAGCCCGAAGACGAGGTCTGGCTCGGCAATGCCATCTTGACCAAGACCGATGCTGTCTGCTACCACACCTTTTCTTCGACCTACACGGCAAAGGAGGAGGATGGAAGCACCTACACGGGCGAATGCATGGTCATACCGGATTGTAGATTAGACCCCAGGTTCGCCGACAGGGACTATGTCAAGGGTGAGCCTGGTGTGAGGTTCTACGCTGGAGTCCCGATTGTTACCAAAGCAGGCCATCGCATCGGCGTCTATGCTGTATCTGATGAGAAGCCTCGCGATGGGATTAGTGCTGGCGAACTGCGCTTCATGCAAGATGTCTCCGCCGCCGTCATGGAGCACCTCGAGCTGGCCAAAGACAGCATGGACCGCAACAAGGGTGAGCGCATGGTACGCGGCTTGACTCAGTTCATCGAGCGCTCTTCTTTACAGGACAGCCGAGAAGACGGCAACCGGCCCACCACTATGGAGAAGCAGACCGAGAACGCGCGCTTACTAGCCCTTGACGAAGAAGAAGGCCACAACACGTCTGTACCTGCCAGACAAGCTCACCGCAAGCGTGACGCCGAATCCGATGCAGCTCGTATCTTCCACAGCGCTGCTCGTATAATTCGCGAGAGTACTGAAGCCGATGGTGTCGTCTTCTTCGACACTTCGACCGCTGGGATAAGAACCCATCTCTACGACTACAATCGCACAGCCGGTAGTAGCGATGAGAGTGCGACACACAACACTGATACCGGCGATTCGACGGCTTCACGAAGGCTCAAGAAACAGACAGTTGTCGCCGCGGATGGCGTATCTGATGCAAATGGGACTGACAGCAAGGCCTGTCCTGTGGTCGGACTATCTTTACGTGAAGGCAATGCGGCCCTAGTGCACACAGACTTCAGCTTCAATGAAGCTGCCATGGAGCGCTATATCCATCGATATCCGTACGGCAAGTTCTTCAACTACAACGAGGATGGTATGGGCATCAACTCTTCTGATGAGAAGTCTGAGCGTTCCGAGACAGAACAGTCCGATCGTACAGTCGACGAACCGGCCGCCAACACCAAGAAGACGCGCAAAAAGCGAGAAAGATTCATCCCAACCGAGTTCCTCAAAGTTCTGCCAAAGGTGAGAAGCCTTATCTTCCTGCCACTCTGGTGTCCGGCCACAGAACGATGGATCGCCGGTGGCTTTATCTGGACAACCCAAGCCGGACGATTGATGAGCCCGGATAACGAACTCCCATATCTGCAAGCATTCGGAAACTCGGTGACTAGCGAAGTAGCACGACTCAATGCGCAGAAAGCGGATCGTGCCAAAACCACATTCATTGCGTCAATATCACACGAGCTGCGTTCGCCGCTGCATGGTATCCTTGGATCTGTCGAGTTCTTACGCGAGACGGTGGCATCGGCATACCAAGAGTCTTTGGTGTCTTCTATCGAAACTTGCGGCAAGACCCTGCTCGATACGATAGATCACGTGCTTGATTACGCGAAAATCAACAAATTACAGAAAGTCTCTGGTCAGAACAAGCGAAGCCTGGGGCGAAACAAGCGACAGCCTTCTGATAATTCGATTCTTGGTGTGACTTCAGACTTTGATCTAGCACAACTAGTCGAGGAAGTTTGCGACACTGTGTGTGCTGGTCACACGTTCAGGAAGACACATCACATCAAAGGAGCCGCGATCTACGATCAAGCTGAGAGCAAGGCAGCGACAACGTCCCTCCAGGACACAAATAACAGCAACGAAGTGGCAGGTAGAGATACACACGGCTCTGTCGCTGTGTCTTTGATCGTAGCCCCGTACGTCAGTTGGATAGTGAGATCACAGCCCGGTGCCCTGCGACGCATTGTCATGAATTTACTTGGGAACGCGCTCAAATATACCGACTCTGGCTATATTGCCATCAACATGATACAGCAAAAAAGCTCCGCCAACTTCATGGACCTATCTCTTAGTGTGGAAGACTCCGGTCGGGGAATGTCGCAGGAGTACCAGCGGACAAAGTTATTTTCGCCGTTCAGCCAAGAGGATCCTTTCAGCTCAGGTACCGGACTGGGTCTTTCGATCGTCAAGCAAATCATAGAATCCCTGAAAGGCGAGATCGAAGTAAGGAGTACCCACCACGTTGGTACTGTCATCAAGATCAGCATACGTCTACCCATTGGTTCCAAGGCGAACGCCCACCAAGATCATGCTCTTGTCAGAGCACCCCAAGAGCTGAAGGGCACATCTGTCTCTATCGTTTGCGACATGACTGACACTGAAGGTGGCGAGCGGGGGTTGAAAACCAAGGAGTCTATGGAAAACGCTTGCAAGAACTTTGACATGAAGATCGTCGCCTCGAAGCACGCCAGTACTAACATCTCGGTCTCTGACATCGACTTTCTGCTCATCGACTCTCCCTCTCTCTATCAATTGATGCAGAGCTCGAATGCCAGTCGCAATAACACATCACCGCTAGGAGTAGTTTGCGTTTGCACAGATACTGCGGAGAAAGTAGCAGCAGAGACTCAACTTGCGAGACAAATTGAAGCGCTTGGCTGGATTATTGAAATAGTCACACAGCCGTGAGTGTTCCCTGAGCAAGCTTGAGACCAGATTACTGATGAAATTTATAGTTGTGGACCTCGAAAGCTCGCCCGCACACTTCTATCTTGCCAGAAACGTGCCTCACAACACAACAACGAGCGACCCATCAGCCGATCGATGAGCTCCTCGTCAGTGCAGCTCGACCTTCATTCTCTTGCACCGCCGCGTACCTCGACTCAGCGAAGTCTCAGTGACATGTTCCCACAAGACGTATCAACGCGAAAAGCTGACGAGGCCGCCGGATGGCCTTCCCCACCGCCACCGCGCCCCTTCCCAATCACCACCACGCCTCTGAGTCCCACCCACAGCGAAGGCGGTGAATACTTCAATCCACGTGTCCTCCTCGTAGACGACAATGCCATCAATCTGAAGCTCCTCGTCGTATTCGCCAAACGGCAGAATCTGCGCTACGTGGAAGCTACCAATGGTCTCGAAGCGTTCGAAACGTACAAATCAGAAGCCATGTCTTCTTCACCGCCAGCCCGCCCTTTCGACTTCATACTCATGGATTTGAGCATGCCCGTCATGGACGGTCTGACAAGTACACGTAACATCCGCCAATACGAGAGCAAGAATGGCTTGCCAAAATCGCATATCGTCGCATTGACTGGACTCGCGAGTGCGCAGGATCAACAGGATGCGCAAGAGGCAGGTGTAGACATGTACCTTGTTAAGCCTGTTAAGTTTGCAGATATTAAGAGGATCTTTGGTGGGAAGTGAACGTAGTTTTCGCATGTTCTTGATGGCGTTACGCGCGGTCTGGTAGCTTGTCTCACGATGTTGGCATTATTGGTTGGGCATTGCGAGGGTATTCTGGATGGACTTTTGCATAGTGGTTTGGATGTGATAGGTTGGCATATGTCCCTGGCCAGGGTTAAATTCACGATGTTATTAACGATGAGCTTCCCGATGCAATCAAGTCACGCAATCCACGGACGCCGAACGGCGCATTCGTCCCGTCTCGTGAGAAACTTGATCCTGCAGGAACACAGTCCTACGCCCCGAGGTGGATACACCCGCGTATACGACCAATCAAGCAAAGGAAAGAGCAGTTAGGTTGCAGCATGGATTCACGCCTGCGGCTAATCTACCACCGGCATCAGGCGCCCAACGCCCTGCTTTCAAATCCGGGTGTTAGCAGTCGCGCACATAGGTACACGAGTTCTTGATTGACGTCTTTCTTGTATTGTGCTTCTTGTCTCATGATCTAATATGACGAGCCTGAACAACGTAAAGAAACGCAAAACAACTTATTATCCCGTTTTGATCATCGGGGCGGGTGCAACAGGTATTGCGGCTGGAAGTCAACTGAGGCAAAAGCTCGGATTGAAAGAATTCAAGATTGTTGATCGCCAGTCTGGTATTGGAGGTGAGTCAAAAGAGCGATCTCATGATTGCCTTGATTGACGATCGGTGGTAGGAACATGGTGGATCAACCGGTACCCAGGAGTAGTAAGTCTGATCGTGCACGATAACCGGAATAACACTGACTGTAACGAAGCAATGCGACGTGTAAGCGATATTGTGCGAGCTCGTAACGACGATAATTGAACATCACAAGGCCTACTTCCCTATACTCCTTCTCCTTCGCACCAAACTACGTTTCGAAACGCTTGTATCCCACCGGCGAAGAATTCCGCGAGTATCTCAACGAGATCTCGGAAAAGTATCAACTAGCCTCTCACATCCAGCTGAACACCGATGTAAAGGAACTCCGCTGGATCGAGGCCGACGCGCAATGGGAGGTAACACTCCAGCACCTGGTTCCTGGTACCGGCGATCTTAGCACCCGAGATCGAGAAGACAGAGCAACCGCTTCCGGTCGCGAGTCCGTATACCTGCATGAAGAAGTCGTGCGCGCCAAAGCAGTGATAAGCTGTGTGGGAATCCTTGTAGAGCCGAACCCATGGCCATCTTCCATTCAAGGGCGCAATACCTTCAAAGGCGACGTCTTTCACTCTGCACGCTGGCGCGACGACATTGATCTCAACGGAAAAGACGTAGTAGTACTCGGAACCGGCTGCAGCGCCGCGCAGATAGTTCCATCGCTACTCAAGGAACCCTATAAAGTCAAGTCACTCACACAGATTGGTCGATCAGCACCCTGGGTAATGCCACGACTTTCTGAGCCTTTCGGAAGAGAAAATTACGCTATATACGCACCCACGGTCTACAAGTGGCTTCCGTTCCTCGGCTTTATAAACCGCGTCCTGATATATCTGTTGGTGGAGGTCATTTGGTCGACCGTGTTCCAAATGAAACACAAGAAGTGGCGGGCTGCGATCGAAACACAACAGTTGGCTATGATGAAGGAGATCGTGCCGGAAAAGTACCATGATATCATGACGCCGGACTATCCCTATGGATGTAAAAGACGCGTCTTCGATACCGAGTGGTTACCCAGCATGCAGAATTCCAAGTTCATGCTTACCAATCGTCCTATCCAAGCTGTGGATGGCAAAGAGCTCATTCTGGGTGCCGATGGGAAGGCTACATCCGGCCAACAGCGCATCAATGCCGATATCATCATCCTCGCCAACGGGTTTGAAGCGACTCGCTGGCTGCACCCACTTTCAGTCTACGGTCGAGAAGGAGCAGCCTTGCAAGAAGTATGGAAGCAGCGTGGAGGCCCGGCTGCATATATGGGGATGGCCGTTGATGGGTTCCCGAATTTCTTCATCGCTGTTGGACCGAACACGGCGAATGGCCATCACTCACTCATACTCACGAGCGAAAATACGGTCTCGTATATTCTCAAGATGATCAAACCCATCCTGAGCGGCAAGGTAGACCGCGTCGAGGTGAAGAAACAGGCCGTCACGGCGTGGACTGAGGATGTGAAGAAAGATCTGGAAAAGACCGTTTTTGTGGGTTGTCGGAGTTGGTATATGGATGAGCAGGGTTACAATTCGACAATGTATCCGTAAGTCTTTCATCTCCGGGCCAACTCATATAGATGCGCGATCCTAACATAATCTGTAGTCGCTCGCAAACAGATTTTACGCTGAAGTGCATGTTCCCGGCATACGCGGATTGGAATGCTTTCACGTCTTCGGGGTCCAGAGTCTCGCTCCAAGGAGGCAATTTTACTGCACTGGGCGCGTCTGCTGTGGCTGTCGCGGTGGGCCTGTGGTATGGTGTCGCGAGGTACTTGTGATATGTCGCATCCTAGAGCTTCTTCCGATAGATGCGGTGTCGCACAAACGAGCTCTTTACCCCTCTTGAGCTTGCTCATCGGTGACTTAGTCAACTCTTGTTATCTCTGAGCAAATGCATTGTGAGTCGCCAGATCGTCAGCGCTAGCGCTGTGATGTGCCCACGTTGCTACGGCGGCTTTCGGGGTTCTTACAGCAGAAATGCATTCTGGCTGATTGCTTTTCCCATAGCACTTACCGGTTGTCCAGTTTGTGTTGTGGTGTTGCCGAGGGTGGGCCGCGCCTTCCCATTGAACGCGGAATCACGCGACTTCGCGTAATAGGAAACCGCGAAGGACTTCAACACGCTCTTCAACGCTTAGCGCAGCTAGTTCATCCTTCCACAAGCCTCTGTTTGACTGCATCACTGCATGCCCATTAAATTGCGCGATACCGACCTGCCTTGTCAGCACTAATGCCGTCGCAATGAGCCCATCCTTCTCCTCATCGCCATTTCTTGTGAGAGCCATCTCACCCATCTAGCAGCCGCATATCGCCACACCGCATTCACGCTGTCCAACTATTTCATCCAACTCCATGCCGACACTTGTTCATGTATTCCGATAGCTGACCGGGGAGGTGCCAGCGGTGCGATGCGGAAGAGCCCGGAGGGTGATTGCGGAGCCATACAGAGGTTGTGGCGTTCGTCTCGAAGATAGAGGGATAGGCATGGATGCAGGTCTGGCCTTCTGTACGACATGGGCGAATTTTCGCGTGTGATTCGGACACCACATCCCATGTCGCGACCTCGAGGCGATGGGTGATGCTGGTGACAATTCCACTGCTTCAATAGCGCAACGAGCCCACATCACGGATAAGCGGTATGCGGGACGCGCCACCTCGTTCGACGATTTCACGCTGTTCGTCGGGTTCAGGTATTCCGTCGCCCATCGTAGAGAGCTTGAGTCGCAAGCGTGGCAGCGTGGCAGCGTTCGCGAAGTTGGTGGGTCATGAGTAATTGCAAGGGTGCAATTCGGCAAGAGAAGGTTTCGCTAGAGGATCGCCTTCCTGGACTATCCTTATAGGCATTTCCACTTTCGGGTCTCCGACATGCATGTCCGCAACACCATCAGCGCTATCGCATCGTCAAACAGGAAGCCGACTATTGGGTCCAAGATAATTGGCTGTGGAGTCCAGGTTGTATCTCTAACAGTTGACAGGGCACGGCATAGACCCTGCGCGAGGGCTAAGATGCGGCTTTCCCTCTCCGAAGCGTAGGATTGCAAACACGAACGGATCTCAGTCTCCACCTTGCCCAATCAATTGGCAACATGGAAAGAGATCTATCAACCTCTTCTTACCAAGACTTATTGCCACCCGGCAGTATCTAGTTACAAGCTCACCTGCCGAAGGCGAAGCGAGCATGCGCGACACGTGCTAGCCGCACCGATGCCAGGAACCTAAAGTCGCTAACGTTAGCCTATTCTCAACCACTTCGCGATTTTAAACTCCATATGGTCAGGCTCAAGCTCTGACCTGCGCCTCAAACGCAGGGCGTCCATGGCCCAAACCGCGGGGCCGTGTTGATCATCGTTTATCGGCACTGCAGTTCCTCCACGTTCACTAGTCTGAAGCTGTCTTGAAACAATAAACAACACCCCCACATCTTTCTTTAGAACTCCTTCGTTTCGACAGAAAGGGGTATCACCTTCCAAACCAACGGTCCGTTTGCTGATGCGACACCAGAAAGCGTTCATCGGAGGGTTAGGCTCTGCAAAGCTGTATCGATGTTGTTCAGCACAATGCAGTACCGGCAGCATTGCATGCATCTCATGGCTCTGAAGCTGCTGCGAGTGAGATCCACCACATGATCGCCACGCAGAGTTGGCGAATTATGGCACGATGATCAATGACCATGAGCAGATGCACCACATCTCGTGAGGTGAATGACCGGGAACCACATCGTAAGCTTGAGCATAACGGGCATGTTCGCTAAAACATGTCACGCTTCAAGCAGGAGCTTTCCACCGGTCACATAGTGGCGTATATCCGTACTCCCAAAACAGTAGCGTGGGTCTTCCTCACCATTGCTCTAGCGGCCTGTCACATCTATTCCAGCACCTCTCTTCAACGCTTACCCATGGGAATCGGGGTCAGAGGAGACAGCTACTCATACAGTGCTAGGTGTAAGCATGAGTCGCGGCTGCTATTCTTGCCACTTCTCGGAAACATGTTACAGTGTATAAGAAGAAATGCTCATCGCTCTCTTCTTACCATTATCATCTCAGGTCATCACAGTCATTCGCTCTTCGCTTCTCGGCACTTCTCACCTATACTATCTTATTCTTCATCCTACCAGACACTCACTCGATAGAACCACTATCTTCTCTTCACACATAATGTATATTCGCAACGTCCTTATCTCTGGCCTTGCGGCTGCCAGCACAGCCCAGGCCTACTCCAACTACACCATTCGGGAAGAAGACTGGACCGTCCCAGCACCAGCGCCAGTACAAGAGAAACGTACTCTTGCAAAGATCTTCGGCATATTCGACGGCATCTTCGGTGGCGGCGGCAAGGAACCTGCGCAAGAATGCCCTGCTGTCTGGACTCAAATCTCTTCCACCCTCACCCAACAATTCCTAGGGGACGGCCAATGCACAGATGCTGCGCGCGCTGCTATCCGATCTTCATTCCATGACTGCTTCAACGGCGCATGCGACGGTTCTCTCATCCTCGCCAACGAGTGCTCGAACAAAGAGAACCGCGGTATGGAACGCCTTTGCGGTAATCTTGCCAATGTCGCATCCCAGACCAAGGTCGGTGTTGCCGATCTGATCCAATTTGCCGCCGCACATGCAGTCAAGACATGTCCTGGAGGACCCACTATTCCCGTCAAGGTTGGCCGCAAGGACTCCAGCGAGGCGAATGCTCTCGGCGTTCTACCTAGCGGTCATGCCAATGCAAAGGACTTGGTCGGACTCTTTGGTAAGCATTCATCTCTAGTCTTCAACACGTTCACAGCTAACAGCTTTCCCAGCGCAGAAAGGCTTCTCACCCTATGACCTCGCCGCTCTCATCGGAGCCCACACCGCCGCCAAACAACGCTTCACCGACCCTTCCAAAGCTGGCTCTGCCCTCGACTCCACTGTCGGCACCTGGGACAACAAATACTACTCCGAGACCATGCGTGGAAGGGCTCCTTTCACACTCCCCTCCGACAAGAGCCTTGCACAGAACCCCCTTACTGCCGGCCCGTTCATCGCCTTTGCCGCCAGCAAGGGTATGTGGGACTCGGCATTCGTAAGCGCAATGGTCAAGATGAGCATGCTCGGTGTTGAGAACAAGGAGGACTTGATCGACTGCACGAGCGCGCTGCCCGGTGGCAGCAAGAAGAGGGATGTCAGGAGCCGCAACCTCTTCGACCGCCTCAAGTGGTAGACAGTGTGGGTAATTTGTACGGTGTGAGCATTTTCGGGCGTTACGATACCTTCTTATTTTTTCATTATGGGCACTTCACGACTCTCTTTGATGGTACATGCTAGTCATGTTTTCTTATATATACCATAGTCTAGCAATAGTATAGGCGGCGGGTAGTATGACACAGTAGTACGATGTCATTAATAATTCAAACACTTCACAAATACCTATGACGTTTACCCATCACGTTCTCATGCTCGGAAGAAACTGGATAGAACCTTCTGCAGAACGCACCGCCGATACAAAATGCGCGAATTAGAATAACGACGTTGATGTATGCGTCTCGGTTCTCTAAAAGCATCCACAGTGTTCTTCTGCCTTTTTTTAGTAGTCAGTAACGCGTCCTACTACAATGATATAACGACACAGTAAGTCCACGTATTCATTATCTACACATGCCTTCTTTCGCCTATATTCAACGTCACTGCGAGCCAAAGCGGCTCAAGCTACCTCCTCCTTCAACAGGAAATCGAACACGGTGCCCTGCGATAAGCCTTGGTTCTTGACGCAGAGCTCAAACGTTAGAATGGACTGTTCGGTGATGACAACTTTACGCTTCCTTCTTTCGCAGCTACCATAATGCTTGGAGCGAGCCTTGGGGTCCTCCTGCACTGTTTCCTTCTTGTCGGTCTTGCCCTTCTTCTTGGACGTCCTTTTGTCGCGAAACTCGTCTGCATTATGCAGCATCTTGGGCTTCTTGTGATGATGTCCGGAGCGCTGGGACGAAGGCGCTTCTCGTTTGGCTGCTCGAGGTCGGTCAGAAGCCATGGCGGTGGCAATATCTGGCGACAGCTTGGTGGATCGAGCAATCTCAAAATCACTATTGTCGTATCTACGAACGAGAGACGGTGAGCAAGAGGCTGTCCAGTTCGTGCGGGCAATGGTGAGCAATGAGTTCCAGTCCCAAGCAGGCTAGCGCGTCTGCCTGCGTTTGCACTACCCGGGCTCCCTGTATAAGAATCCTGTCCTCTCCGCCTCCAGCTTCGACCTCAGCCAACCTGCTCCTCATGGCAGTGCTACCTTCTACTTCGCCTTCGCACTGCCTACAAAAGCGGCGGCGCACCGACTTACTAACAACTTCTTCCATCTTTTACAAGCAGCTCTTTCAATCGTTCCCACCTACACTCACACGGCGTCAGGTGTGCCACATATGACTCTGCGAGGGCAGAACGTCTAGGCTCAAGGGCCTAGGCCTGATGACCTAGAAGCTTGTGGTGCGATCCACCAGCAACACCTACTCGACAGTAGCGATGGTGCCAGGGGGAGCCTCTTTCTCACGAAAGCCCATGCCTGGAGAGCAAGCTTCAACCCGAGACGGTCTGTGAAGTGCGGTCCTGGATACGAAACATCCACAACGATACGGAGATCTCGAGATCTAAGTGTGAGCTACTTTGGAGGCTCACATGAACGAAAAGGACGACGGAATCCATCTTTCTTTTTTTTCGTTGGCGTCTCTGCCTTGAGCAGTGCGTTGAAGAAGAAAATGACGCAATACATCTAGACGCGAGATTAGAGCCTTAGTTCACGAACGCCATTCAATTCACATCGAATGTAATGGCTCGATGACGCAATGGCAGGGGAACGCCAGAGTGACAAGACGTGCGCCAGGTGAGCATCGGGAGAAGAGACTAACAGAAAGCAAAGGAAAGAAAATTACCAAGCAGGTAGATCAACAACCGAGACGCCGACCGCTGATAGATGAGAGTCTGAATAGCGAGCGAACTGAAAGCAGAAGGCATCATCGCCGAAGCTGCCCTGCGCTGTAAACATTGAACCTTGTAACGACATTAGCGGTAGCACGACAAAGAGGAAGGAACGACAGAAGGCAAGAGACGAGCATAGCTTACCAAGATGACCAATATTACCCACACCCGTCGACTTCATATCACCGACGTGAATGGCCTTTGTACCACATCTTCCTCATACCAACCTCTCAACTTCCACGATGAAATCACATAATCAGAGACGAAGAAACAAAGATGACGACATAATTCCTATAACCCCCCATCGTGCCTTCCCCAGGATATCTAACCTTCCCCATCCACCCATCGATGCCAAGCCATCCATCCCATCATCCAAACATACCCATCCGTCACCTTCCCTACACTAACAGTAGCAAACAAAAAACGACGCCAGCGAACATCACAAGGACGCAAGCGATGCATTAGTAGGTCCCTCCAGATGTATTACAATACAAGACAAGGAAACAAGCAGAGACAGCCATGTTGTGTAGAAAGTTAAAAAAAAGCTTATAGTTTGCTCAAGCGAGGAAAATGACAAAATAAAGTAGTAAAAAAAAAAGAACAAGGCGATCGGGTATCGAAGTCGAAAATGGGGCTATCGCGAAAATTATTTTCCCAACTGGCTTCCTTCCCCTCCGTTCCTTCCAAGTGTATGGCTTCCCTTGCTAAAACAACAACGATGGTAGTGCAAGCAGCGCCCCCAATACGTGACAACGTGGCGGTATTAACGTAGCTCTCTCAGCCTTCCTCCGGCGGTGGCGTGGGTAGATCTCTCCCCTTTGATTCCGGACTCGGTGGGTGGACGACTGTGACTGGCGTCGTGGGGTCTCTTGATTCGTCGTCTTCTTGGTCGGCGGCGCCATCACCGTCGATGATACTTTCGCCTTCTTCGGGTATGGCAGTCGGGCTCAAGATACCTCCGTCTTCGCTTTTGGCGGAAGCTTGATTGCGTCGGTTTCTCCTTCGTTGTCTTTCCGTGTCCGCGCTCTCTCTTCTCCGCCTGACGGATAGTGACCCATCCTTGTTTAGGCCAGTTCCGGACTGAAGACCTTCCAGCATGGCAGCAGCGCGGTCTGCGATGTCTGCTTCTGCGGTACCGGCGGCGGCAGCTGCTGCAGGACCAGCGGTGCTACTAGCCTCGCTATCCGCAGTCTCGCTGGTGGGACTGAGCAGTTTGTTCTTCTCGTCCTCACCCTCGGCACCCTCTCCGCCATCTTCCATGTTGACGCCGATCTCTGGGATCTTCTGGCCACTAGCCACGCGTACCTGGTGCCTGTCCTTTAAGCGGGCGCGACGACGGCGATCGCGTTGATCTCTTGCTTCGGGCTTAGCAGCACGTAGCTTCTGGAGCAAGTCGTCCATGGCACCGGTGGATGCGGGTGATTTGGGAGCATCGGAGTCCGAGGAGAGGGCATTGGGTGAGAGAGGGTTTGCGGTTTGCGCTTGTTTGCGACGCATGGAAATTTCGTTGCGACGATGTTGCTCTTCGAGAGTGGTGTTCTTCTCCTTGGATTTCTACAAGCAAGTTAGCAATTGATCCATAGCAATGTATAACCAAGCCGTGTAAAGCCAGCATCGTGATCACAAGAACAGGGGGTTGGTGATGACTTACCTTCCATTCCTGGACGAAGTTGGCCAACTTCGCAAAGAAATCCCTCCTCGCACTGTCGTCGGTCGGATCTTCACCATAGAACGCCATAATGTCGTCATAGCTCTTCTGCATGTCCTCAAGGAAGACCTGCATCTGCTCTGCCTTTCTCCTAGCCTCCTTCATGTTCCTCTGCACAACAATGGCGACCTTGTCCTCTGGGTGGAACTTCGTCGGATCAGACAAGTTACCAGAGTCTAGCGACATCTGAACGTTCTTGATGTTGTCGATATACTTCTTGGCATCGGTCTGAAGTTGCTCGACGTTGATCTTCTGGGCTGTTACAACGCCACTGATCTCGTCGGTAAAGCCTTCCCATCCAGAGTATTGGTTGCGGACGATTCTTTCAACGACATCGGCGAATGTAGACTCGTTCTTGTCATCCTTGAGCATACCCAATCGCCCCAGAGTAGAGAGCTTGAAACCACTGGCTTGTTTGTTGGCATCGTTCATGAAGTTACCAATGTCGAGAATGAGACCCAGAACACTGATCAAGCTTGACGAATCACGCAGGCTCTCGGATACCCTTGAGATTTCTAGCAGCTTGTTGGAAATCTCGTCGTACTCAGTTTCGTACGTGCGAGTCAGGGCAAGCGCCCTCATCCTGCTCTTCCAGTAGTGGTGCAGTTCGTAGGCAGTGAGAAGGTAGATCTGATCCTCTCGTGTGAGTTCGTTCGGGTCCTGTTCGCGCTTGCTCTCGCTAGCATTGGGTCCAGTCCAGTCCTTCGAGTAAGGAGCCATGAGCTTGGCGGTGTTATCGGGAATATCGCAGAAGTCGTTCTTCTGCAAGAACTCCATAGTGACAGGGTCATCCAGAATCTTGTTGTCGCAGTGGATGATCATCCTTACGATATCTTCAACTCCGTACGATGAGAACTTGGCCATACTGATCTGGAAGTTGTGCATGAGGTCGCGAGAGATGATCTGCTTCTTGTCGTCCTTCTTGCCAGATTTCTTGCCAATCGCCTTGATCTCCTTTGCCAAGAAGAGCTTCTCGACTTCCTCCAAAACACCCTTCCTTGCCAACTCCTGGTACTTCTCTTCTTTCTCTTCCGAGCTGAGACCGCGAGTGGCCCAGACAGTGGTAGTAGGTTGGTCGACCTTGTCCCAATGCAGGGCCTTAAGCTTCTTCTTCGGTCGCGGTCCAGAAAGAGCAAATTGTTGGGCAGCGCCAAATCCAGGCGCCTTGGGCATGAATCCAGGACGTTTGGCACCTGGCATTGGTGGTGGCGGTGGTGGAGGAGGTGGCATGCTGCCATCTCCTGGCATAGGAGGTGGTGCAGGGATTCCGGGCTTGAAGCCAAGTTTGCCTGGCGGAGGCGGCGGCGGCGGAGGTGGTGGAGGTCCAGCAGTACCGGGCATAGGAGGCGGAGGAGGAATGTTGTTCGAGAATCCAAGGGCACCAGGAGGCGGGGGTGGAGGTGGAGGGATGTTGGCTTTGGGTGCCTCATTATCGCCAGGCGTCTTTGGTGAGTCGGATTCGAGGCTGGGATGCGATGGTCCTGTAGTAACGCCATCCCCTTCAGCATCAGAGTCTTCGTATCGCTTGACGTTCGCCGTGATATCCGCCATGAGGGCATTGGCTGTCGAAGTGCTGAGCTTTGGCTTGTGCATCTGGATCAGACGGGGCTTCTCAATGACAGCATCATCATCGTCCATCTCCGACATCTCAGCATCCTCACCAATCTGGCCAGGAAGGCCAGGGAGGGGCTTCCTGCGGGGCACTCCACTTTTGGCACGTACTGATCCGAATGAGCTGGCTTCGAGGCCACCATAGCCCTGTTCGGTCATGCCAGGCATGTCGCCCTCCATCTTTTCTCGCAGTTCCCGAAGCTTCTCGCTGGGCTGCATCTGCAGGGACTTGCCCTCCAGTGTTGCTTGTGTCCTGGCTCGTTGCAGTTGGATCTCCAGTCTGTTCATCAGACGTTCGCGGTCCATGATACCCTGCATTTGAGCTGGATCGGTGGTAGCGAGCCCGTCCTTACCAGACTTCTTCGCTGCCGACGCTGCTACGTCTTGAGCATCCCTAAGCATCAAGTACAGTTCTCGCGTCTCCAGTTCGTTGCGTTGCAGTTCTTGTGCTCGTATCCTCTGCATTTCCGCTAGTTCGGCCTTCATCGTCTCTACTTGCCTACCACGGAGCTCAATGATACGTTCTTGTTCCGCAAGTTGTTTCTGCAGCTTAGAGACTAAGCCATCTGCACCCAACTCCAGCTGCGCTTTCATCTCATCGCGTTCTGCAATAGCCGAGTCTGCGATTTGTCGTGCTTCGACTGCTTCATCGCGAACCTGTCGGGCTTCAGAATCGGTGTACAGCTTGTCAAGCAGAGATTGCACAGTGAAGTTCAGGCTCTGCTTGAGGTCCATGTCTGGCAGTCGGCGGTCCATAGCCACGTAGCTCAGCATTTGGTCCACCAATTGGAACATTCGCAATCGATCCTCGCTCTCAGTGTCTCGCATCAACAGCAAGTGTTGCATAGCTGACGTGAAGTAGTCTTGCGCGCGAGTGCCACCAATCTTGCTCATGATAGCGTCTGCGATTTGCAGAGGGTCGTTGAGATCCTTGGTTTCGCCTTCGACGCCCTCGACCATGGAGCTGTTCTCCTTCTGAAGGAAATCCTCATAGTCGACAGCTTCGTTGTCCAGGTAGTGCTCGATCTGCTTGTCGATGACATCGTATTGAAAGCCTTCCATCTTGTTGAAGATGCGCTTGATGCCACATGCTGTGAATTGGGCTCGCACGTGCATCCTGAGCTGCAGGTCGCGCTCCGGGGCATCCACAACCATGTTGATCAAGAAGAGTGTCGCGATGGCGTATTCCATGAGCAGGTTCTCTACGCCGATACCTCCACTGCGGACTTCGTCTGAAGCGCCTACCATGGAGCCCATCTTGCCACGGCCGTCGACCGTGACTTCGACGATGCGCATCCATGCATCGAAGCGACTGCTTTCGCCATACTGGGATTTGAGGTTGTCGAGTGCCTGCAGTACTTTCTCATGTCCACTTCCGTTGCCCCAATGGCACAAGAAGGTCAAGACATCTGAGACGAGCTTTCGTGTGTTGAGCCGCGTGGAGATTAAAGAGCCGCACAGCGCCTGAATGATGGACGGATGGTTGAGGGCGTTGTCGGCACCGTACTTGTTGTTCATCAGAGCCTTCAAGCACTTGATGATTTCGTATTCGCGTTCGACGTCGTTCTCCGCCTTTTGCGCCATGACGCTGGGAGGAGGCGCCGGCCCTGTTGTCTTTCTGCGGTTGATCTTGGCCAGCACATTCGTGAGGGCGATTTGACCCTGCGCTTCGATGAAGCCCCTGACCCAGGCGATGGGCTGTGTTCGCAGACTGATCTCCAAACTCGACATCTGTTTTATAGATATGGAATTGTCCATGACCTTCTTGACGTACCACTCGGGTGAACCCTCCTCTTCTGCGCGCATGAGGATGTCTTGGCCACCACCTGCACCGGGGCCGCCGTAGGTTATCCGCTGCGTCTGGCGCTTCTTCTCCTCGTGCTTGAACTCGGCCAGCTTGTCCTGATAGACGAGGGTCCACTTCTTGTCAATCTTGTAGGCCTCCATCTGCCGCCGCGCCTGCTCTGGTAAGCTCTTCCATCCTCGCTTCACCATGAGGTTCATGAACTCCTTCTCTACGACATGGTCTGGCGGCCGTTGTATGCTGAGCGTGTTCTGGTTGAACGAGGTCTGCGACGCGGAGGGCGAGGAGGAGTTGTAGTGCAGCAGATGGCGGTGCGAGTCGCGGGGGGTGGAGACGGCGGTGGGGAGGAGACTGCCGGCATCGAGGCCTATGGAGGAGATGGTGCTCTGAGATGGGTTCTGTGGGTAGAAGACGTTGCTGCCGCGCGACTTGGAGTCATTGCTGTAGATGCTCGCCTGGTCGGACGAGGTGCGCGTGTTGTTGGAGGAGTCAGTGCCGGCGTAGTATGAGTAGTTGCCGTCCCTGCTGCTCCCGCGCGCGCCCCACTGCTGCATCGAGACGCCGCGGTCGCCTGGGTTGCTCGAGGCGATGGTGGTGCCGAGCGAATGGGGCGGAGGGCGCGGTGGCCCCGGGTTGGAGTAGCCGTTCTGGGGCATTGCGGTGGCGTTGAAGACGGGGTACTGATGGAAGTCGCCGCCGCCCTTGTTGAGGTGGTGCGGCAGCGGTTCGGCGTTCTTGGAGGCGTCGTCTCGCGGGGGGTCGATGGAGGATACGGGGCCAGCTCGCGCGAAGATGCCCTCAGCCGTCATGGACACGGGCCGCTGGTCTATCGAAGCGCCGCCGATGGAGTGTCTGTGTGAGTGTCGTGACGAGAGCGAGCCATGGGAGCTCCCCGGGGGGCTGTCGGTGGACGATGTGGTGGTATGTTTGGCGTCGCCCGTGTGCTTGTCCTTGTCTTTGTGCAGGCGTCGTCCGAAGAACTTGCCGGCAGAAGATTGCCGACCCTTGCTGTCCATGCCTATAGCGAGAGCCTATGCCCAATGCTCTGCCGCCTTGGGAGCGCGCCGCCCGACGTGTCTGCGTCCCCCTCCTTCGCGGAGCAATGCGTCCCGCCTCGCTGCTACGGCGCAGGTGACGATGCCGCTGCCTCAGCGGGCGTGTGTAATCCTCAAACGAGCGTGCGGGGCTGCGTGCGGTGAGTCGAAGGTGAGAAGCAATTCCTGGGGCGCCGTCGTGGCAGCAATGCGGCTGCGAGAGAGGGAGTGGGAAGTCGCCGAATACTGTAACTAACTAGCGCCCCCCGTGTGACTGCATGGCAAGTAGACAGGACTGGGACGCGGCCATTTGATCTCCACAGCGCCGATTCACCACGTCTCATAGTTACAGCGCGCCAGGGCTGCTCCGCGTGGATATGCAAGCACGCGAACCACCCGCCATGGCCGCATTGGCTCCGACGTTCTCCTGAGACGTGCGCACGTCCGTGTTGTGGCGCCATCTGCCATCCATGCCCAGACGAACCCCTAGCCGGCCTACGCGACGGGCGTCCTCCCATCGGCCTCGACGTCGACAGTAACTATTCCCGGCACATCCAGTACTGTACATCCCGCCTGTCTGTGGCGCAGCAGGCACAACACCTGCACACTCGCCCGTCGCACCTTCCTCACGCCTGGCGCACTGCGTCTCAACACCACGTCTGCTGTCCACATCCACCACCCACGGCTAGCAGCCCCGGCCTCGCATCAGCCCTAGGCGATCAAAAGGACGCGCTCCGCCAGTTCACGCACCTTCACTAGCACATGCATCCACAGCCATGGCCGGCTTTACCCATTTCCTCAAGGTGAGTGACAGCTGTCACGTACAGGAAGCTTGGGCGGTGAGCGCATAACGCGACCCACCGCGCACACCAACCCCATGTGGAGGCTGACGATGCGCCTCCAGACCATCCTCGTACCACTCTTCCTCGCTGCCCTCCTCTATGTCCTGCTAGTCTTCCTCGTGCTGCCCTTTGTGCGCCGGCACCGCAGCCGTTATAGCCAGTACCTGCCTATGCCCGCGAGCGTGACCGACTTCCCGTCCTCTTGGCGGACGAACCTCTCCGATGCCCTCTACAACCTCTTCGCGCCTTCCGCGTGGGTCAGACAGCGCGCGATTGTGGATGGGAGCGGACAACACGACGACGACTTGTTCGACGACGAGGAGGGAGAGGGCATGGTGGGCTTTGACCCCATCGATGAGAGGAGAAGAGAAGCCCTCGAACAACGCCGCAGCATCATGGAGGAAGAACGGCGGTTAGGACGTGAGCTGGAGGAAGGCTTCAAGGATGACAGTGAAGATGAGCATGAAGACGAGAGGCGGCGGTCCTTGTCACGACATCGATGATTTCTATAATACCCTTCCTCATACAAGAAAACACGAACAACTGCACTGCCGTCTACATTAGCATAAAAGCTGAAGTTATGTAAAGCCCTGAGGTAATGTAGACTTCTAGGAGGTAGGTGTCCGAACTTTTCGTATGAGGTGTTTACATCACTTTGCCTACAATTTGGAACTTTCTCATGCATCACATCATCGGTTGGAGTTGGAGTTGGAGTTCAAGTGGATATATTCATGTACATAGGTAGGCGGAAATATCCATCTAACGCCTAAACCTAAACAAAGAAATTCGTGCCAAATCGCTCAAAGAAGACAGAAGGCTGCAGAAGGAGACCGTTCCTCTACTTGCGCTGACCGTACGCCTTGGTGGCGTAGTCGCCCTTGTGGACAATGAGGTCCTGCAAAACGAAGTCAGTGTATGTCTCATGTGCAATAGGTACAGATTTTCACTTGCCTCTGGGCGATAGTTCTCGCGGCCGGAGAAGTACTCGTCGAGGATAGCCTTGGTGCCGTTGGCGTATCGCTCCTGGGCGTCGATGGAGGTACCGGACATGTGAGGAACCATAGCGTTACCGCCGCCCCATGGGTTCTGGGCGTAGCGGAGCGGGTGGTCCTTGGGAGCGGGCTGAGGGAACCAGACGTCACCACCGTATCCACGGAGGTGGCCGTCCTTGAGAGCCTGGGCAACGTCCTCCTTGACGACGATGGCACCACGAGCGGTGTTCACCAACCATGAGCCCTTCTTCATCTTGGAGATGAGGTCCTTGTTGAAGAGACCGCGGGTCTTCTCGTGGAGCGGGCAGTTGATGGTGACAACATCACACTGGGCCAACATCTCCTCGAGGTTCTCGACGCGACGGCAGCCAATCTCCTTCTCCTTCTCAGGAGAGAGGGGCTGGTAGTCGAAGTAGAGGAGCTCCTTGCAGTCGAAGGGCTTGAGACGGCGGAGCACACGCTCACCGATACGGCCAACAGCGACGGTACCGACAACCTTGTTCTCGAGATCGTACTCGTTCTTGGCGACCTCGGCGACGTTCCACTCTCCCTTGGCGATCTGCTCGTGGGCGGGGACGAAGTTGCGGACAAGGGTCAGGATGGTCATGACAACGTGCTCGGCGACGGAGACGACGTTGGAGCCAGTAACCTCGGCGACGGTGATACCGCCGTTGGTCTTGTTGGCGGCATTGAGGTCGACGTGGTCAGATCCGATACCAGCAGTGACGGCAAGCTTCAGATTCTTAGCCTTGGCCAGGCGCTCTGCGGTGAGGTAACCGGGGTGGAAACTGTTGATCGCGATCTGTTAGCTGATGCTGGCTCGGATGGTGTTTGCAGCCTTAGCGCGTCCGGCCGAAGCTTGACGCGTGCATGTGGGGCGCTTAGCGGCATTGCGGGGTAGCTCTGACGTACGGAGTGGTAATGATAACCTCAGCATCAACAAGGTGCTTGTCGAACTCGGAGTTCTCGCCTTCCTTGTTGGAGGTGGTGACGAGCTCGTGGCCTTGCTCCTCGATCCACTTCCTGATGCCTAGCTCGTTCTCGGTAGTTCCGAGCATGCGAGGCTCCTGCTCAGCGTGGACACCACCCTAGTGTTGTCGTTAGACATGCCAACGCGCATTGGGAGTACCATGGACACTTACATCGTAGAGGACGAGAAGAACTTTGCCCTGTTGTGAAGCCGTCGCGGTCAGCGTTCTGAAAGCATTCGGTTGGCGGAGCGACGAAGTTAATCGAGGTCCGGCGCGTGCGCTGAGGAGGGAGGAGGCAGGGCGCGCAAGGCGAGAAGCAGATCGGAGAAATACCATTTTGACTTATTGAACTGATAGTAGAACAATTGAGGCTCCGAGGGAGAGATATATAGTAGAAGCCGGCAAATGTACAACGAATGGTACGTATTCCTGACGCAAGGTATGTCAGCCTATCGTCCCGGCAGGGGGGAAGTGAGGGGTGCGTGGGTCGGTATACCTCTTGCGGGCCGAAGTGACGTCGTTGTATGGTAGAGAAGTTAAATGGAAGACCGGATGCTACACTGGACAATGTTGGTGTTGTGAGAGCAATTGAGGGGTTCGTGAGGGGGCTTTTATATACCGCCGAGCAGCCGCACGATCTTCTCACTACTTTCAGCCTCTGATCCCTGGGTCACCAGGCAGACGAGGTCGGTCATCCCCACTTGGTGATGCGACATTCCCACACAGACAAGTGGTCGCTGCGGGTGTGACGGTCGTGTTTGGAATTACTTCGCATCGCTGATAGTGCGGGGTCGCGTCCAATGGCGCGAATCAGCTCACAGACGCGCCAGGGGAGCTCTACCAGCTGCTTACCCGTTTGATACTCACGAAGCTTCGCCGAGAAGCCCGTAGCGTAGTCTGTGGGCGTGGGTCAACACGGTAGCTCCAGTAGCGCGTGGTCGTTTGACCCGATCGAGCAAGAATGTACGTAAATCGAGGCCTGGGAGTGGCACTTCACTGGCGTACGCTAAAGCTCCATATGGAGAGCTCCCGAATAGCTTCAATTCGGCATTGTGGAAGGATCAATATGGTTTACGGAGCTGGTATTGTGACTCTCAGAGGCCCGAAGGTCGTGATGAAGTGTTGTTCGAATGGCTGTCCGCAGGGCTTTCGCTGGGTTCCAGCTTCCAATGCGACCACAGGAAAATGCATCTTGCGTAGAGAGAACTGTGGGCTCGGACGACACACCCACAGCATCTCTGGAAGGTCGTGCCCGTGCTAGCGATGGCAAATCCAAGGAAAGTGGGCTTGTGTCCGAGCAATCTAGATGCCGCTTTGTACTTTGTCCGCAGCAGCACAGGAAATGCGGAGCTGCAGCGGTTCAAGCTCGCAGTCTGCGGATGCGAGATGTCGCCGTTGCGCCTGACAAAACTCGCGGGAAGCCAGGGCGACGGTCGGCGCAGGGGGTTTGTCTCGGTTTAGACGGCGGCAGGCTGGAGATCGTTCTTATCTTTCGGCCGAAGCTCGCTCGGAAGGTGCGCGCGCGCCAAATTCGCGTTTCGGTAGTTCCAGCTTCCAGCTTCCAGGTACCCCACCACATCCACAGAATGACACTACGCATCCCTTCTCCCGATGTAGCTGAGGAACCCGATGGTGTCATAGTGTCATCTTGCCGACATCTCACGGAGCCATCTTCTGTCGATGAATGACTTAGTTATCCGGTCCCGCTCTTGCCTATCGTTGTATTAATCATACAGCTTCTCCGGCAGCTCCGCCTCCTCTGTATCACCTTCATCACAGCTCTAAGATCAAGTCGCTTGATCTCCTTGTATACTACTGTACTGGCTTTAACAGTAGCCTTCCCGCCCTACACGAGATTGTTCAAGACCCCCGCATTGCTACATTAACGATCACAATTGTGAGGTGTGCGCCGTACAGGCCATGATGTCGCCATACCGTCCCAAAGCTAGACAGTCTGTAGAAGAGCTTCCTGTAACTCTCGGTGCTCTATGTATCCGCGAATCGTATCCGTGTCGCATTCTACGCGACGGGAGGTAACTGGAACGAGTGTTGGTCTTGCTTTACCACCTGGGTAGCTACAATCCGTCCTGGATTAGCTGACGACAGTAATTCGGAATACGTCGGATAACAGTACACAGAAATCGTGAAGGAATGGAACATGGACTGCATTGCAAGAGCTCATGTGCATGAATATAGAGGGTTCTACCCAGCGATTTTAGCGCTCTCTTACCCAGGATACTAAATGGCGCACAAACAAAGCGAAGGTGAAGGCGAGCGCGAGCAAGCCCAAGCTCCAATTAAGGCCCATAGCGCAGTCACAACCTTTCAGTCGCCATCCTTTCTACACTCTTCTGAATCAGCCTTTTGATTTAGGGCGCGAATCGAGGTTCTTCTTCCACCACGGTCTCAAAGAAGGCAGAGTCTCCACGCTGGCTATTCCACGGAAGCGCACGTCTGAGGGTGAGTCCCCATCAAGCTGATAGCGAAAATCGTATACTGACGTCAACATAGGTACTGCCACAATGTCTACAACCGGAGGCAACGCAGAGGTCATCGCGAAGAAAGGCGATGTCATACTCCAGCTAGGCAAAGACGGGGTCGCAGAGGGTGTTCGCAACGTCCTTGTCGCATCCGTGGCTCTTAGCCTCGCTTCACCAGTCTTTGCAGCTATGTTCGACGGTCGCTTCTCCGAAGGCCAGAATCTCTCGCCAGCTTCACCACGTACAGTTCCGCTCCCGGATGACGATCCTGAGTCCATCATCATGATCTGCAAGATCGCACACTTCCAGACATCGCAGCTTCCCGTCAAAATTACCGCCATGGCAGTTTCCAAACTCGCGCTCGCATGTAACAAGTACGACTGCGTGGATGGGGTCCGATCATGGGCTATTATCTGGATCGCCGCCCTTCTTGAAGATCCCGATGCTGCGGACTTCGAGAAGATGATTCTTGCTACACATCTCCTTGAGTTGCCGAGTGAATTCTCCAGGGTTTCTCAGAGACTGGTGCGAGACCAAACCACGATCCTCAGTGTTACAGAAGCCATGGACGGTCATGAATTTCTGCCTCTGTTGGTATATGAATATATCCTACTTCACCAGATCTGTTATCAGAATGAGATCACCAGGATATTCGCTTCGATCGTTACAGGAAAAGAGTCCTGCAATACGAGCAGCCAGGCCGTTGTTACTTTCGTCAGGTACCTCCAGAGAAACGATCTATGGCCTATCAAAGAGTACTCGGCACCGGTCATCAAGTCCAGACTTGTAGCCGTGCCTGAAGCAACCACCCCTTATGGCAACGTCACTAACGCAAGTTGCCGTACCTCAGCCTGCGTCTGCAAGTCTGATGCTCGGCTCATCAAGGCCATCCTTATAGCCGAGCTCGATAAGGCATACAACATGATACAGGGTGTCTGCTTAGACTGTGTTCGTCAAAAGCTACTCGGAGAGCAAAAGCGGGAGTGTCGCGTGCCCCATGCGACGAAAGAAGCAACGGTTTACCCTTGATCGCCTTACGAAATGCACATCAAGGCACGCGTACGCTTGTCATAAAGTCTGGAGAAAGTATGGTGTTCTCGGCAGCGGCCTATGTCTTTTCTCTCAGATGGTTTCGAGACGCAGGATACCATGGGGCCCTAGTTTTCACCAAGGTTGGGCCCGAAAATAGAAGCTCTATCGATTCGGTTCTAGCGAGGCTTATTCTCCTTGTAGCCCTGCGTGGGCATCACATTAGCCTCAAATAGAGTGCAATAAGCTTTCCAAAATGAACAAGACTTTCTCAACGTGACACTCTTCGAATTTGATATCACGTAGTTTTCTAAGTAGCTCTGCGGCACACCTCGCGAATTTCGGCACTCATCAAACTCGGTACATCTCTCAACGCCACGCCGCAAGGTTCTTTGGCTCCAAAAACCACCCCATTCAAGGAAAAAACTGAACACCCTGGGGCCTGCATCAAGATAAAAACGTGCAAATTAGGTGGCCCAACGGCGACGTAGGCTCCAGGGTGTTCAGTTTTTCCCTGGTATAAGGTGACACTTACATTTCAGTCTTCGGCTCGAGGGCAACCTTATTGCGTGTCCCTCTGGCCAAAAAGCTCGTTACTGTTGCCGCCCACGTATGATACTCTACCCACCACACTTAATCCGTATCTCACATGCAGTGCCCTAATTTTACCTGTATCAATGACGTACAAATTCGTACACCTCTCTATCTCTAAGCGGAAGGCGCAGTGATGGTGATGCATTGATGCATTGTTGAAAAGGACACCGACATGGTACCATGGTCGTTAGGTAACGGATTGGCTGGCAAAACAGCTGTAGGCCGAGATGATATGGTTGACATGGTGGCGCCCCGGAACGAGAAGATGTTCTTGTTGATAAGAATTTAGGCGCTAAACGCATCATATGCGCTGCTCTTAAGACCCGTCCGCCAGTATCGTGAGTTCGTAGTTTAGCCTAGTTAGTCGCCAAGATCCAGATCCAGTCGGTAGAACTAGCTCTGATCATCCCAGGAGAAGGCGCTATTCCGGACTTCGTGAGTGATGCGTAATACCTAGGTACTGCCGAAAGCGCTAAGCTGGGTTCAGCGGAGATGATGCGCGAGCTTGTGTGTGGGTATCTCGCGGGAGATCGACAGGAGTGGCCAGCATTCGCCATTATCATCCCGGACTTCGGTGTCGTGATGTAGGGAAGAACTGGTTCGGGGTTTGAGGGTCTTCGGAGGGGTTCAATTGGGCCGCTCGCGGGGTCAGAATCGTCGTCATCATAGTTTCCCCTGTCCAGCTATTGCCACTTATTGATGAGATGCGGTCAACCTCAATTCGTACTCATCTTCAAACCACCAAGTCGAGTCGGTCATAGATGATGAGACGGGTAGGACACGAAGTTCAGCTGCTCGCCATACCTCGCTTGCGCGCGACGTCCAAGTCCGAGCTCCACTGGCGCCTCGGCAACTCTCGCCGCTTCCCAAATGTCCCTCCGCTGACATCTCCGTCCGCTCTCCAACAGCCTGCGCTTACAGATCTCTGACATATCTGCTTCGGCATTTCTGGCTAAATGAAACAAGCTTCAAGTCCGCCCGACGCCTGATCCTTCGATCCCTCATCTCTCTGCCTACCAACGATTCGCCATGTTCCTTGTGATTGGGCACGTGGTGCGTCCGCCTTGGTAAACCCGTGCATATCTGTACCATTCCTCAGCTCTTAGCATGATGTCCTATACGCGCGACATTCGTCCCGATGCTATTAAGGCCCAACGTTCGATATTGAGTACAAGGTCACCCCGTATGCTATGCGATTATTTCCTTCTCGCCTATTCGCCAACGTTGAAGTATCTAGACTTCGTTTTCCTCAAATTGGGAAGCGAGCTTGTCTACCGTCATCACGAGGAGGGGATCCGAAATTGGTTTCCTGGGGAAATTAATCTATCCCGCAGCATTCTTGGGGTAGGTTTCGCAAGGGCGTGTCTCTTCCCCGCCAAAGGGCCTAGTGCTTGCTCCTAGAGAGACGGCGCGAGGGGTTTGTCAGGCACGCTCTTTGTTGTATAGCGTGGCACGGTACGCCTGAGCTGTGCTACGGTCGATCAATATAAAGAGCCTGGGTACTTGCTTTCCCCAGAGTAGAATTCATTTCGCTACAACACTACCGACTGAACCTTGGAAAGCTTGCATACTCGTCTCTCTTCTCTCGGAACGCAAACCAACGTCTGCGCATCATGTTTGCCAAAATCCCCACCACGCTTCTCCTGCTCGTCACCTCGCTCGCACTACCTACATACGCTGGTATACAACAAACAGACTTCAGCGGCATTGGTCACATCTACGTCTTAGCCTCCGACAACTGGGGCACCGCAACCCCAGAGTCAAGTGTAGGATGCCTGAATGCGCATGGCAAATTCGTCCATGACAGTGGGAGCGGGAAAGAATGCGGGACATTCGAGCGCATGGATGACTACCCTTATACTCTTAGCACTCACAATGGCAACTGCACATTCCAAGACGCTAGTCAAGAAGAGAACGTCGACAGCCACTACGGGCAGGGCGATTATGCGTGGACGTGTACGGAGCGCAACGTTGACATTTACGACGAGCTATACACTATAGTACGTATTGTTCTCAACTTGGCTCGCCAGAATACGTTGCTAATGCGCATGTAGACCGGATTCCCATACGTCTTCCTCTGCTTCGGAGATGTAGCATGCTATTACGATGCTAAGCGTACCCCTACTGTCAACGAATCTCTTCCACTATGGCAATTCCGTTGGGGATCGCAGCAGACCGGCATCACGCCGGGGCATGTTATGCTGCAACTCATGTGGAAGAAGCTTGGTGATACACCAAAGAGAGAGCAAATGAGCGAGATACCAGGCCCAAGGATCCAGCTTAGTGAGGGCATGCAGATATCGCTACTGGGTCAGAAGTCAAAGGCATAGTGTTGAGACCAAGCAATTGGTAAGAAGCGCAACGCGTCGGAGTACTGAGTTATGATATCCATTTTTCCATTGATGAAGGGGCGGGCGGTCTTGGATGTGTTTCATCTGGTGTGAAGCGACGTTAGCAATCGCTAATGAGTCCGGGTCGTACCGCATATGTAGTCAATTTGATGTGCGATGCCAGCTTGCATGCGCAAAGTAATCTCGGAACAGTGCTGTTTCAGATCACCACACGGCATGGCTATCATTAAAACCTTCCACGCATCCGTAACACCGTGAATCATAGGTCAAAGACTTAAAAGATGAAGATAGGATATCGGGTTCGTTAGGTGAGATTGCTGCCGACATCTGAAGTCACAAGCTATTAGTCCACCACTCATTAACATATATGGCTGTCATCAAGTTTATGCAAAACAGGGCCTAAGTAGATGAACCACCGCCAACAATAGATTGATGTTACCATTGTCGTAAGAATGACCGATCCAAATGCAGTATAGTTACAATGAGGCCGATATATTAGTCGGCGGAAGCAAGGTTTACCATGAAAGGTCAGTGAATGATTGACGTCGTCGAAGATAATGCGAGTCAATACCTGACCTAGCACGTCGTTGTTGGGGCCGTGAGGAGTAGTCTCGACCCTGACAGTGCTCGAAGGCTCGTAGGTATTGAGATGTACATGCTGGCACTTGTAGGAGCCGTATGTGCCAGTCAATGGTAGAGGAAGCTTGTGGACATCGCCGCAACCGACGGTGAAGGCGGCTTCCTCGTCCGACATTGAGCCGCCGCAGTCCTTGTTCTTTTGGTTGTTAGTTCGTACGACCGATCTCAATCATGTGTCGAATACGTACCTTCCAAAAGTTGCACTCGATGGACTCGACGCAGATCATGATTGACATGATGTCGTCGTTGTTGCTACAACACGTCAATGACTGCGATGCAAGAGTGATGAGATTACGTACAGTGGAAAATACCTAGGGCTTTGCTTGTCCATGAGGAGAAACGTAGGCGCGGATGAGAACTCTGCTTGAGAGTACACGGCGCCGATATCGCGGACGTCGTCGTTGTTGATCATGCCGATGTGCGGACTAGGAGCCGCAAACGCCGTGCCGATGACGATGAGGAAAAGAGAGAAAATGTGCTGGTAGTACATTACTTCGAAAGATATTTTGTCTTTTGTCTTTATAGTTCGTGAGAAGTTTTATAGTTCAAGAGCGCGGCAGTAGAGGGAATAAGTTGAGGGTGGAAGTGTGGAGAGGAAAACTCTCGGAGGAGGTAACCGCTGCCATTTATGTTCCGCTGGCACCAGGCAAACACTGACCAGCCTCGCAATTGGCGACAAGATCGATTGCCACCTTCCGAAGGCGCAAGGGTGAAGGCGAAAAGATCCCGCCCTTTCTTTTCCGGACTCTCGGTATAGCTCCGCGGTAGTCATAGAGCGCTCCGCGAGATCGTTCCCTCTGTCTCTGCTCGGACCCACCATGCTGATATATCGGTGAGGGTGAAAATGAACTGCCATGCAAAGAAGCCATAGATGTGTGAGTCTCCAAAAGTTCCTGCCCGTTTCTGACCGTACCCTTTTCTTTGTTTCAACGTCTACTTAACACGAGGAGATCTTTAGCCATGTATTGAGGGACGGCAGGGTCACATCCGAGCTCTTGCATAGTCTTCTTTCGCTACGCTACCGCCTGCGTGGAAGTGTAAACGAATATGCGATTGTCCAGCTTGCGTCAATCCGCATCTGGCACTCAAAGTGATTGGAAGGGTAATATATAACTCGCTGGTGGCCATGCTCGCTTTCGGCTAGAGTGGGAAACAATCAAAACCTTTGTCATCGATAGCGACGCGTATGCTCTTGGTTGAAGATGACGATGGAAGTTTAAGCTGAGTATGACTAGTGCTAAAAACAAGTACTCGTAGTTCTCTTTCAGCTGCGATACTACGCCGTGGTATACGTCTCGCTGGAACTGAATGTTATCTAGACTATTAGCTCTTCGATCGAAATTACAGCGGATGCATCGCCGAACGGCATCGCTATATCTGCGACTAGCTTCGCTGTATAGATCGTCTACAAGTCGATTCGCGGTATTCTATTTAGTTAGAATATCAACTTGCCGTACACCTGTTTTAAAAAGGCAAAACCTATTTAGCTACCTCTAAACGCTATTTAGCTGCCTCTATAAAACTAGATAATAAGCCTCTAACGTTTTTTGCAAGTTAAAATATCTATACTTATTAATAGTTTAAAATCTTCTTTTTAATTAGGTAATTTAATATTAGATTAAGGTTACTCTAAGTCTTCTATAGCTCTTCTAAGGCCTTCTATAAAGTTTTTTAAATATTAAAATATAAAATAATTATAGTAATATAGGCGTTTTCTTTATGTAATTTTTATTTATTACTTTTAGGCTAGAAATATTATATTTTAGTAATATTTACTACCTAAATCTATCTAATAGCTTTACTACCTTATATTTATACTATACTACTATATTATAGCGTAAGTATACAAAACTTTAAAAGCTTATTTAAGTAGTACTTATTAACTTTTAGAAATTTTTTAAAAAGATTCTACTAAAGAGTAGTTAAGATATAAAAAGTAAAGAACCTCTCTAGGTCTTAGAGATAAGGCCTACTACGTTATATTTTATAATATTATACTATATTATAAATAATAAATAAATAAACTTTTAAGCTATTAAAACTAAGTCTAATAGACTTAAACGCCTCTTACTATCTATATATACTTTTCTTTCTTATATGTTATAGTATAATAGAATATTAAGTAGAAGTAGAAAGTATTTAATCTATAATTAGTAGAATAGAAAAGCAAAGTAAGTAGTAATAAGTAATTAGTATAGTATTCTTATCTAAGAAAGCTACTCTCTACTTTAAAAAGCTATTAGAGTACTTATTCTTCTTCTAATTATATAATCTAATTAGGTAACTAATTACTATACTATAATATTTATAATAAAGACTTATAATCTATATTAACTTATTTATTACTACTAATAATATATAGATAATACTTAGTAGTAGTACTACTATATTACACGCAGTCTCTTTTAAAAGTAAGTACTACTACTACTTTTATTATAGTTATAATTACCTAAAGGCTTAAGAAAATTCTAGAATTAGTAGTAGTAGTAGTAGTAATATATTTATAGTGCTATAAAAAGGCTTTATATTCTCTATAGCCTAATACGCTAGCTAAATACTCTAGAAAGATCTTAAATATACCTATAGTCTATTTACGTATTCTACTACAAGCTTATTAATAAGCTATTAGTATTACTTTATTATCTAGATTATCTATCTTACTTATATTATTAGCCTAATTATAGATTTATAGTTATTATTATTATTAATTACTAGCCTATATAAAAGCTATAGATATAGCTATAGAGTATTATAGTTATAGAAAGAGAAGTAGATAAGCTCTAAGTTTTATAAAAGACTAATAGCTATATTAAGTATAATAACACTAATAGATAAGAATAAAAAGAACGCTAAGAGAATATATAATCTACTTTGTAGTTCTACGTATATTACCTATATTAGTGCTATTAGCTATAATAGAATTCTTATAAATTCTACTTAGCTTTACTATATTTTAGTTAGTAAGACTTACTAAGACTAACTAAGACTTATAGAACTATTAAGTTACTCTAAGTATATAGCTTAGACACTAAACTCTTATAGCTTAGTATATTTAACTTTATATAAGACTCTAGTATTTAATCTAAGAATTATACTTTTTTCTTAACTTCTTATAATATTATATTATTCTACTAAATATACTATTAGACTCTTATACTATTATATTAATCTACTAATTATACTAGTATACTAACTTATTCTACTTTACTTACTTACTTTCTAAGAACTAACTCTTAGCTTATCTTAGAATAATTTTTACACTTTAAATACTCTTAAGATAAGTAATATAAAGATAGATACCTCTACTACTTTCTATACTATAAAAGTTACTAGTAAGAGTAATAAGTCTAATATCTACTATAGAGAGTATAATAAGCTTAAAAGTTAGCTACTCTAGATTAACTATTACTTCTACCTTAAAGGTAATAAGATTAATAATAATAATATAGTTATTTAAACTACTATATTTCTATAAGAAAATATTAAAGAATAAATTATACTTATTATCTATTACTATATAAATAATACTATTAAGAATATAAATAATAAGAATCTAGTTAAAGACTAGAATACTTTTAAAGTAAAAATACGTAAAGTCTTCTTATCTTTCTAAAAAATAGTAATTACTAAGTAGAAGATTTAATAGTTACGCTAGACGTACTCTACTACTAACTATACTACTTAGTTCTAGTAGTACTAGGTAGTTATTAATTAGAATAATAACACTTTAATATAGATATATAAATAAGATCTTAAACTCTAAGTTTAAAAAAAACTAATAAAAAGTAGAACTAGCGTTAATACGCTTTAAAAACTTACTAATAAAGTAATCTATATTAATAATAAACTCTATAAACTCTAGCTAGAAGAATAACTATTTATATAGAGAATATAAGCACTAGAGAATATAAATAGAAACGCTTAGGTTTACTCTAAACCTTACTATTTATACTCTAACTAAGAACGTTAATAAAGCTATATACTTAGAATTCTAAAGTTATATACTACTAATAGCTATAAACTTATATACTTTAATAATCTTAATAAAAAACCTAGATAACCTAAGTTTTATAATAAGAAGTAGAAAAAGAAAAACTTTAACTACTATATCTATAGTAAACTAGGTTATATAGTAAAAGAATATAAGAGCTAAAGTAAGATAGAATAATAGCTAAATATTCTATAATCTATAAATCTAAACAACTAGAAAGTAGTATAAGCTATTAACTACTATTCTTAACGTAAGTAGCTATAAAGCCTAACTAGTAGACTAAGTAATATATCTATTATAACCTCTAATAAGACTACTTAAGAAGATATCTCTTTAGATAAGTATAGTA